AAAGGAATTTTACACTACTCTATTTGTGACATTGAGGGGTATGTTGATTTGATTTTGAACGCTGAGTAACTAGTTACGCTAAATAATAATCTTATGATTACTTAGTTAACAATAATTATCAATCCCAATAAGCATACATATTTTATTGTTAAAATCTTATGAAAGCCTTATTGACATTACTGTTATAAATTCACTTCTATAACAAAATCAATAAAAATATGTTTTTCACATGGAAAGATAAATTTCATTTATATCGATCGCTTAGTAACGAAATTAGTTTTATAGTGACATCGGGGTGGGAATAACTCAGGTATTGGCTCACGAGGCGTCCACGTGCGCACACCCAACATAATACAAGACGCGATGCGCATTATGATACAAAAAAACAAGTACACAAGCATTCTATTACCCACATTTTGTAGTATCGCAAAACGATTGTATAAACTTCGAGAATTTGTCAATTTAATAACATTATTCATTTGTCGGTTGCTTCAATATATACAAATACAGTGTGCAAGTCTCTTATAGATACACTAATAAACTAATAAACATGAATGCCAGAAAAATACACGCACGAGACGAGAAAAAAAATCACCAATACTCTTACTGCATGAACCTGCACATTCAGTAAAGTCTTCTGTGTATTAAAAGATTTGTTAAATGACGGTAATTTATTGAGACATATCGCCTTTTCGCATTAAAAGTGTACGATTACCAAAAATATTCGAAATTGAGTTAATATGTGTAAATGTTTGGTATGTATCATCACTACTTTTCTCATAAATACTGTCAAAAGAGCGTAGTTTAGTTTTAGTTTTTTTTTTTTTAGTTTAGGTAAACTAACATAGGTATGTTTTGACTACTGTTAACAATATTAATACATAATTTTATCTTACTTTAAAAGACAGATAATGTATATGTATAAGTGGTAAAAAAAAATGTTGCAAATATGATATGTTAAACACTCTCATGTAAAATTAGTAAGTTTTGAGATTATATAGTTTTAATGCGAGATATGACGCAGTAGTAGGTATGTTTATGAAGAGGTCAAATCGCAAACAACTACCTAAAGGGACATTCAACTGATCCCAAAGAGTTTTGTCAATATTACCATTGTGTCCGATAAGACTTGTAGAATAATAAATAGGAAGTTATCCTTGGAAGGATTGGAGCAACTGATAGGGGTTAACGGCACAGCGGTACAGTGTCAAAGAACTTTAAAAATTTCATCATAGTTTTCCCGCGCTGTCATTGGATGTTTTTTTTTTATTGGCGTTTCGTTTCGCCAAATTGTGTAATATACTCGTATTGTTCTTCGTATGCGTTACGATTGCTTTTTTTTTTGTTTTCAATCTAGAGTTTTCTGGATTATAGTACTTGCAATACTATTATTAGTTTTAGGAATCGGGATATGAGCAAAAATTTGAATACTTGTTTAAAGTTGATTTGTTAAGTGATGCAACTGTTGCTAACGTTCTTGGAAAGTCGAGCGGGATTCTTATTAGAAGCTCAGTAAAGCAGTGACGCGTTGTCCTGGAACATACGGGAATACACGGCACGACTTAGTGTGTCGTTTAAATTATACGCCAGTGTAAAATGGTACGTATTTTGGTTGTTCAACGCGCGTTAATTTGGATATTTTTTTTTATTGCCCTTGTAGGCAGACGAGCATACGGCCCACCTGATGGTGAGTGGTTACCGTCGCCCATGGATTTCAGCAATGCCAGGGGCAGACCCAAGCCGCTGCCTACCAAATTGTAATTAAATTGCGAGTGTGCACATTTTACTACAACGATCACAGGTTCCTTCAAAGGTACCGAGAGAAGGTGAAGTCTTATTTCAACAATAAACAAGAAACAAAAACAAATGTTGCATATCGATGCAGTGTAAAATGAATTTCATAGCCCCGTAACCTAATCGAAAGAAAACGTAAATTGAAAAAAAAAAACAAGTGCTAAGAGTGAAGTAAAACAATTATGCACAGCATCCACGTGACTTTCTTTTCAAATTCGAAACTATTTACATAAAAAACGAGTAATTCGTCTTATTATCCTGTCGCAACTATAAATCTTGCGATTAGCATTCTCTGTGCGATCCATGTCGGATAATAAAGTCTGTATGTATATATTTATAAATTGTTGATACAGTATAGACCATTAGAAGATACTTACAGCGAACGTACGTAGGCGAACACACGTGCGGATAACGGTTTGCCTTATCGGCGATACTTGTTTGTACTACCGAGAGTACGAAATGAAATAAATATATGTAGGTACGCGAAAATAGAGGTGAACGCACCTATGCGAGGTAATGCGAACTGAAAAACATTTCAAGCAATGTATAATCAACAGACTCCAATACTCAGTCGAAACGTTCCGAGCGGTGAGGAATACCAATTTTCATTCTTATTGTAATAATGGGCTCATTTGAGTTTTTTGCGCAATCTCAGTAATATTGTGTAAAGCCTCCTGTTAACAGTGACGTCACGCGTAATCTTGTTACACTATGAAAGATTCACGAAGAGTGTCCGTCGTCTGTGGTCGCTACATGAAGCAATACGTCAGAACTAGATATAGTGGTGATCTCATTATGAGCACGGTGCGATAACAGCGCTGTACTACAACTCCTCTGTACGATCGAGGGCTTCGATTTAATGTACTGCAAATGTAATGCACTTAGAGGCTTAATAGGTTATATGCGCTGAAAATTATTCTAGTTGAATTCGCTCTCGGATTGCTATACTCTATGGAATATATTAAATTTTGTCGATTGCTTAGCACACTAGGAGAAAGGTAGCTTGGTAAATCATTTGCCTAATTAGTACATACGGTTAGGTAAAAAAAAAAACTACCATAGACAAAATTATCAGCGTTTTAATCTAGAACTAACGAGAAAGAATGCGGGGGATAATACACAAAGTGTCGGTTAATTGTTAGGTAAAGCACCGTGACCAATTAACTTCGTCCATGTTGACTCGACGCGCGCGCGCATTTGAGACGAATTTCATTTAAGCAATTGTAGTAATTGACCGGCTACATCGCCATCCGGAGGTGATGTCGCGCCGTTGTCCTCTGCGCCCCTCCCTATTTGGCAAACCCCTTTTGATAACAAATTAAGTTTTTAATTCTTTTGAAGCATTGTGAATGTTAAAAAAAAAACAAATGATTTGTGAAATTTCGAACAATTGCCCCAATCTCGATCTACAATGATGCGAATTACTGTAATGCCAGGAGTTCACTTATTACTATTTTTGGCTGTAAATTCTTACTTGTTAAAGTCATTCGATTTACTAAATAAGGTAGTATAAGAGCGTCTGGGCCGCAATGAGCGTCGCCCACAGATCGGCGGCGCGTCCTTGTCGCAAGGACCGGCCAAGCCTCCCGCCCACTACGACACTCACAAAATATATACTGATCATATTCGTCTTGTCATAAATCGCGCCAAACACAAGGTATCCTTATGGATGTTTCTCATTTTCCTCAAGTATTTGTTTTGAAATCAATGTGTAACATTTACGTAGTATTACCGCACATAATGTTTTTGCCGTTTCCTAGGGACGGATTCTGCTTTGTTGTCAGAATGAAGCCATTACCTCAGATACTAACGGGCACGGCGTGCGATGCGAAATGATGCGAAATATTTCCGGAGTTAGAGTAGTATTCTATTAATAAATGATTCGACGTCGCTCGTGGGCGAAGATTTCGGGCGAGAGAGCGCGGGCGCGGCGCGGCAGTAGCGCGCGATCCGCCGCGGCCGCCCGCCGTACGCGCGCGCGCAACGAACGAACGACCCGCACACCCGCACACGCGATACTTTACGTGAACTATCGCGAGTTACGACCGACGATCCGCCCTACACCGCATACCTCCTCACACCGACCCTAATAAACATAAATATTCGATACAAACCGAAGACGAACACGGTGAACCGACTCAACGAATACAGTACCCATTGCACTTTGCGAGGGCGGAATACAACGAACAAATCGACTAACAAATTCGAACCGCACGAAGGTGTCGCGCCGCAAAAAGCGCAACACAATAGAGCAAGCGTCTAATTATAAACGTGGTTGAGTTAATATCGCCGATATGCAGAATATCGATCCTTTGGAGATCGCGAACATCCTCGCTACCGAGCTCTGGTGTCAGCAGGTATGCATCACCATGCTAACCGATCGAGTGATACAACACCTGCACAGCACTATCTCTCATTAAACTCTTACTAGTTCGAACGTGATCATTCGATTCAAGCAGACGTCGCGACGCCCGAGACGCCAGACGAATCTATTCGGGTTGCTCCTAATACTTTACAAGAAGCGATAACAATTAATCTCTAGTTTATTATCACTGTCGAATTTAATTTGCACCGTAGCACAGAGTTATTGGAACGTTAGCGTAGATATAATTTTGTCTGCGTAAAGTTGCCAGAGGTGACAGATTTATGAGTGCGCTTTCATCGCACGTGGCTTCAACGTACTCGAACTGAAAAAAATGTGCTTAAACCAAATTATATCTGTTACAAAACCATCCCACCTGTAACCGAAAAATTATACAAGATGTATATATAAAATAAATTGAATAAATAAGCGATTAACAATTGTATATAGGTATCGTTAAATGTTTACTGAATTATAAATAAATATTATGCTGATAAACGAAGACCGGAATGTGGAAGGAGTAAAATAATAACATTGTGAAACATTTCACAAATAAGTTGTGTGCAATTTTGCAACGATATTTTATTTTTCCACGGTTTTTTATTTTGCATTGACTGGTTTAATCGATGTTTTCGTATTCATATCTGGTGTATATAACCTTCATTAGATTGCTGTTGGAAAAAATCAAATTTGCTGTTGGAAAAAAAAATCAATAGCTTCAAAATTTAATCATACTAGAATAGAATACAGTTAAGAAAGTCAGTGTTAGTGTTATAGTTGAAAATATCTGACCTATTTTAAAGTATTTTTTTTTACTAAGGTATTGTGTTATTTTTGTTTTCAGTTGGCAAACCTCGAAGGACTCCAGTCAGGAGTCCCGACCCGCACGACGGCGACCATCACCCCCACTCAGTTGCGGAACTTCGAGCAGACGTACATCGAGCTGACCAACTGCCGAAGCGAACCAACCACTCACGTCGGCTTCGTACCACCTTCAGTCACGCACGCCAACAATTACGGTGAGTACATAGATATTGTAATTGTAATTTCTTTTTTATTTGTCGTTTCATTCACTCTTGTCAGAGCGGTCGTGGTCGTCATTCGGTATCATTGCTGTGGGCAGATTTTATGCGCGATACTCACGAGCAACCGCCACTTGTTAGTTAGTCGCCATTTGTTAGTCGTCGTGGACTAACGGATAAGACGTCCGGTGCATTCGTGTTGAGCGATGCACCGGTGTTCGAATCTCAGGCGGGTACCAATTTTTCTAATGAAATACGTACTTAAGAAATCTTCAGGATTGACTTCCAACGTGAAGGAATAACTAAGGAAGTCTTGTGAGTCCGCACGGGTAGGTAACACCACCCCGCCTATTTCTGCCGTGAAGCAGTAATGCGTTTCGGTTTGAAGGGTGGGCCAGCCGTTGTAATTATACTTGAGACCTTAGAACTTATATCTCAAGGTGGGTGGCGCATTTACGTTGTGGATTTCTATGGGCTCCAGTAAGCACTTAACACCAGGTGGGCTGTGAGCTCGTCCACCCATCTAAGCAATAAACAAAAAAGAATAAAAAAGTAAATATCAAAATACTGTATATATTTTTAATAATATTTTGTAAATCAATGGAATTGTTTGATAAATTACAGGTATTCTAAATTCGGTGGGATACTGTGATTCGGGCCCGACGACCGCGCTGCACGTGTCGCCGGGCCCGCTCTCCGCTAGCGGCGACAGCAGCAGCAGCCCTGGTCTCCCGGCGCCGAAACGACGCAACATGGGCGGTCGTAGACCGAACAAAGCACCGCAGGAACTATCGCCCGAAGAGGAAGAACGAAGAAAGATACGCCGCGAAAGGAACAAGATGGCGGCTGCGCGGTGTCGCAAACGCAGACTCGATCACACTAACGAACTGCAAGACGAGACCGATAGATTGGAGCAAAAGAGACAGTCGCTCCAAGAGGAAATAAGAAAATTAAACGCGGACCGGGAGCACCTTCAAACGATATTGCAGAACCATATGATAACGTGCCGGCTCAGCGACCGCTCTTCGAGTCCGCCGGACGTGAAGCCCCTCCAGGAAGTTTACACGTATCCGGACCCGGAGGACGGAGTTCGAGTCAAAACCGAAGTCATAGACCCCACAGTCGACCCAGTAATGCTGGGGTTGGATAACATTTTCACAACACCGTCGACCGAAAAAAGGTAATTTGCGATTTACTTATAACTAAGCTTTTATCAGTATTCTTCTCAGTCTTGGCAACTCACTCTTGGCAACTCTGCCAAGAGTGAGAGACTCTCTCATGGGGTCATGACCCCCCCCTGAGCTGGTTCCAGGTCTTAGGTGAACCACTAATTGAACATAATGATTTTATTTATATATTTTGTCATTATACAGATTTTATGTAACTACATACCTTCAATATTTAATTAATTTAATATAATATAATAACTTTGTATGATGGCAAGCGTTTGGGAACGAGCGCATCGAAAATTTGACTATGTGACCCCCTCCTGGCGCCAAAGCTGGATCCGCCCTTGATCATTGGGTGGGGACCTTCTCATATTGTACAGTTTTTTTTAACATAAAAGCAACTTATTACAAATATGTAATTTAAGTCTTGGACGCCATTCGTTACCTTATCGATCCCCCACTTGGAGGCCTTTTGTAAGTCTTCACTGCATCTTATTGGGGCTGCCTGGATAGTTTAGGGTACCACCATGATTTTGCTGCTTCAGCGATTATGAACTGAACGTGATAAGCAGAGGCACTTAAACTCCAAAATTCAATTAGCTATATCGGCCACTAAAATTCTCTGTCTGAAAAGAAGGAATTTGCCGAGCAAGGTTTTTTCCAAAGTGCGTGATTTTCTAGAAAGTGCAACATTGAATTGGTGGAAGGGGTATCTTGAGTCTCCATACCATGACTCCGAAAATTAAATCTCAAATAACGAACGCATTCATTGAAAACTTTATTTAGAGGTTCGACGAAGATTATCAAACAATTCCTTCCAGAAGTTTTTTTTATCCATCTTCAAAGTCTGTCCAGTCTAGAAGCATACAGGCTCTTGTATAATTTCGAATTTATATTTTTTTCGCAGAGTTTCGGATTAATGTGGCCATTAATCATTGTATTTATCATGAGTATATTTCGTTCAGCACTTCCTGTGTTGCTTATTTATTGCGTCTTCTCCTCCAGTGACTGCCAACACGTTCTGACTATTGTTTACGCTCATCTTATACTATTCATGAATATATTTGACCCAAGTAGGAGCAATTTTCTTTAGAGCATCAACAAATTGAGGATTTCACATACAAATACGGACCCGCTAGTTTCCCTAGTAAATATCATAACGAAAGATCTTAATGACACAGTCAAGTGTACATTGTTAATGACATGGGCGACATTTGTGTTTGCTCGTCTGCAGTATGTCAACGTATGATAATAAAAAAGGCATATTTATTACTGCAAGCCGTCAAAAGCGGTTCAGACATGTCAATTAAATAGTTGATAAAAGTTTTCAAAACAAATAAAGTACCTAGCAGAGCAATATACGTTTTCCCTGTTTCTGTATTTGTAACTATGTGCAAAATAAATGTTGTTAAACAGAAGTTTTGTCGGAAACAACAAACAATTAATATTTTAAACATTCGTTTTTAGTGAAAACCTGAGACTTTAATAAGAATAGTACATTTTTAAATCTAACTAAACGTTTGTTTTCTCTTTTTTTTCTCAGGATAATGCTGTCTTCGGCCAACCCTGGCGTGGTGACGAGTGGGGATACGGTCACGTTGGATACCCCGCCCGCTATTTCTCGACCCAATAGGCCTAATTCACTACAAGTACCGCTCAGTCTCACACCTGCACAGGTAAATGACGTAACTTAATATTTTATTTATTCGAAATGCATAGACGAAATGATTATATTATCTATCGGCTATTAATAGCGCGGTAAGCAGACTAAAGAGGATATTGACAGATCGTCTATTATATTACATATGTTAGGGACACAATAGAGCAAATTCTTACCCAATCCTGTGGACCGAATGGTAAACAATCGACATCGCCCTAAATGCGCCATTACGGATCCTTCCGATCCACTAGCGGTGCTTTTAGGTACCTCAAGCACCGGTCACCGTCCTTGCCGAACCCGTCGCTTGCGACGAAGGGCTCGACAAGTAAATTAACCCACAGACACAGCCCACTGAGTTTCTCGCCGGATCTTCTCTTGCTAGGGTCAGTGTTAGCAACACTCCGGTTTGAGCCCTGTGAGCTCACCTACACGTAAGGTGAGGGTGAAATAGCTTCTCAAGGCTTGTCAACCTTAGCATAGGTACGAAAAAAAAACGAGCTCATCATAATATCTTTGGCTTTATTCGCAATTTAGACACGGATTATTTGTAAAGATACATTTCGTTAAAAGAATAGGATAAAATATCAGCCCGTTATGTGAGCAAATTTAACGAGGCCTTTCTTTACAGATACACAACAACAAAGTACTCGGGAACAGCAAAATAGCCGGCATCGAGATCAGCACGCCCAGCAACGGCATGTTTAACTACGAAAGCCTCATGGACGGGGGCACGGGGTTGACCCCAGTGCTTCCCCACCCGCTGGGACACGCGCACGCGTACGTGGTCCCCCCGCGCCCCGCCCCGCCCGGCGCCGCCGACCCCCCCGAGCTGGTGTCGCTGTGACCCCCGACCCTGCTTATCGAACTCTAGAGGACGTCCTCGCTCATCGTGTGCTTTGTGTTTCTGACTAGGGCGGCGCACGCGTCGACCCGCGACCCGTGTACCGAAGCGAATATAGTATATATATATATTTTTTATATGAAGAAGTTGTATCGCTGCAGTAGTAATTGTAATAATAATTGTGATGTCGATAATAAAACAGAGTTTTATTTGAAGCGTTTCAGGGATGCGTTTTCGTGTTGTGCTAGTCCGGCGAGGCTGGATTCGTTCGGTGCGTTTATTTATATAAGTCAGTAAGGATCTCTGTTACTGTTGAATTTCTCGGCACAGTTTTATCGTTTTGTCCTCGAAATGTCTCGTCATAATAAAAACCTCGTGCCATTACCGTTTCTGCAGTCAGAATTTTATTCAATTATAAACATAAATACATACGTGTAGTTAACCGAACTAACAGCAATATTACTTAAAGATTATATTGATAATATATTGATTGTAAGTTAGCTCAATGTTGATGTGTAATGTTTTACCGTTCCATTGGATAAGGTATTGGTATAGTAACGTTATATTATAATGTTAAACCTTTGTGATACGTCCAGTGTTCGTGTCGCGGTCCAATATCCGCGGCCTCGCTCCCTACATACTACTCATGCCATTACTCATTACATTTATAATAATTATGTATACTGTACATGCCTTAATAATGAACTGCATTTGAAACAAATATGTATTAACAATCTTAATAGTATTAATTAAATGACAAGAAAATTGTGGAAAAAAAAACGTAGGAAGAAAAAAAAATTTACACAATTTTGGCATGAGACTAGATTATATGATTATTGGTGATGACCACTGGAATATAATTAGTTTTAGGGCGTTAGCTTAAGATCACTTAACATTTTAATTGTAATATGCATAACTTAGACCAAATTATTATTTTATGTGCTTTATTATAGTTTAAATTAAAATCTAAGCCAAATATTGATTTTATGTCGTTAGTTTTTAGTTTTAGCCATTTCCTTTAAAGTATTATTGCGTTGGCGGCAAAGATGGCGGAAAGTATTTATTTTGTATAATATGAGACAAAACGCTGATCATTTAAAAAAAGAATGTACAGTGCAATAATTAATATTATTATTTACCTAGGCAATTTACCCGTGGTTTTATAAATTTTAAGTATATTTATAAATTTAAAACTCAATTATTAAAGTATTTTATGCATAATATGAACATTGTAGTTGATAAATAAATTATGAGATGTAATTTTTTTCTAGAACATTTTTTGATAAAGCAATCTTAGTGTAACTTTTTGTATTTTTTCAAGAAAAATTAGCAAAGCATTTTTGAATATATTATTGAATTTGAAAGCGAGAAGTAGTGAAATAAAAGTATATATTATATATAAAGGGAAATATAAAATGTTTACACACACCTTATTTTTTGGGTTTCATTTTATACCTACCTATACAAGCTTGCTATATAGGACCGATTAGGTGTTAGTGGCAACTCACTTACGTGGGTTAATAAGGTGCTTACGAATTTTTCTCTTAATATACAGATATGAAAAGAATAATATTTCGAGCACGCTGATGCAGCTACAACCCAAACATAGACCGAAAACGCCTCCGAGATTAGCTGAAAAAAAAAAGCGTTTTAGTAGACAAAACAAACTTTACAAGCAATTTAATTTTTTTTTACCGTGCTTGCGTTCTTATACTAGGAACAAGTGGTATCTAAATATTTAGAGCCATATATCTTATCTCCAAGTACCACGTATCAATATTTATGAAGATAAACTGGAGCACATAATGCTCACAACCATGACGCATGCCGAAGCTGGTTAGCTAGCTGGCTTCCTAGAAGTTACAGCACCTTTGTTATAGTAAGTGCTGAGAAAATGAAGTATATCGTGCAAATACTTGTCATTATCATTATCATTTTTATTCTATTATATTTTATTTCTTAATCCTGGAAGTCAGTAGGAACGCCTATTAGGGATTTCCGTACAAAGTTGGTAGCTGCCATGTCAGCTTGGACTCGGCCTGGAGGGTCAGATCAATCGCTTAGAGCAGGGCTGTCCGAGCAACATACCTTTGCGGGCTAATTAATGTTACTACTAAAGCTGGAGGGCCGCAGAAAAATATATTCGAAAAACAAAATACTTTTCGCGATTTCGCCCAATAATACTAAAACTAAACTGCACTTTTAAATAATGTCATGGGAATGGAATGTTACAAGAATAAAGGATAAATTATACGAAATATAGATTACATGTTTTGACAAAGAATTTTATTATCCAAACTATGTAAGTATGTATATTTAAAATTATTTTCGATTAAAACATGTGTCGTGGGCCTTATGACAACAAGCCACGTGCCATTGTCTGGACAGCCCTGGCTTAGAGAGTCCAGCAGTGTGTTTAGTGCGAGTATTTTAACGTTCTCGATAACGTAAAAGTTAGCTCACATTTGTATGGAATGGGATCGTTTGCCTTCCTTTGCCGTTAGGGGCGCTGTTCCCACTGCATACAAAATTGGGTTAACTTTTACGCTATCGAGAACGTTAAAAAACTCGCACTAAGCACACAGGTGTATCATTTCGTATGTCCCGACCACTATATGTAATAAAAGAAAAGTAAGTATAAATACGCCATATTATAATTAATAAATATTACACTCACAGACGAGGCTGATCAAAGGCACGACAGTTTCTTGCTTCTGTTTGACGTACACGGAGTTTGGAAAAATGAAACGCATGATTGATGTACTACGCTTGAAGGTTACATCTGCACTGTTAAATGATTGACCGATTACTAAGTTTTTTTTAAATGTAGTATTACTGGTGGCCTGAAGCCCTTTCCAGCTTCGTCAGGACAGGCGGGCGAGCAAAAGGCACGTAAATTGTAGACATGCTTAGGGTTATCTGGGGTAAAACGGGAATTCAATAACTGCATTGTTAGAATACAGGTTGCTTTTTTATTATTATTGCTTAGATGGGTGGACGAGCTCACAGCTCACCTGATGTCAAGTGGTTACTGGAGCCCTTAGACATCTACAACGTAAATGCGCCACCCACCTTGAGATATAAGTTTTAAGGTCTCAGTATAGTTACAACGGCTGCCCCACCCTTCAAACCGAAACGCACTACTGCTTCACGGCAGAAATAGGCAGGGCGGTGGTATCTACCCGCGCGGACTCACTAGAGGTCCTACCACCAGTAAAAAGCTAGCTAGCAGCTATTTTAATGCTACGCGACTTCGACTTCATAATAATAACTTAACACCAGGTGGGCTGTGAGCTCGTCCAAACATCTAAGCAATAAAAAAAAAAAAACATTCTTGCACTACATTTACATGGAAATCATTGAAGTATAATAACTATAGGTAAGTAAGTATATCTTTCTAGCTACGAGAAAAAATATTACAGTCTGAGATTTGAGGTTTCAGTATTTATATTACTGTAATAAGAGCTACACTTCAAAGCTTAATCGGGATCATTCGGGCGAGCACAGGCTCAGCCAGCAGGGGTGGGATTAGCTGACACCCTCCCAAGCGCCATCTAGAGAAGCTTAATTACTCAAGGGTAGCTGCCTCGCGAATGAATCTATTACTGTATCGTAATAGCGATCTACTGAGAGAATCTTAGTATGTTATAGGGATGTTATAGGCTTCATCTCGAACTCCTTGTTGTTGTACAAATGTATCAATTACGTCCTTCATGTCGCCTGTTGTACAAATGTATCTGCTTTTTTTGATTGTTTTTGAATGTAAATTGTGTTTTGGTGTGCAATAAAGTGTATTCTCTCTCTCTCCTTGACTAGTTCGACTAATACGGTGATCTGTGCATTGGATACTGAATATTGGATTGGATACCGGTAGTTTCCATCCGTTAGGACATATCTAGGACATCAGAAAATCTGATTAGCCAGGCGCAAATTGCTAATGAGTTTTGTACCATCCAGTGTCGACTAATAGCGCCACTAGTGAATTAACCATAAAAATACCTACAAGGGATTGTTCGGAATGTACGGCAGAGCGTTCAAATTCCCAGTGCTAATGTCAACTTTGTACTGGCGTGACTCACAATCTCTTGGACAGTTGCAAGCGGCTGATCGCATCCATATATTCGCGTTCTCTAAAAGAAAAAAAGTGTTAGTCTGAAAATTAAATCAAAAACATTCTGATAACATTCTGATAATAATAACATCTCACGAAAGTAGCTAGTTAAAAAATATTTCTGGTTACTTTTTTAACTGGTTTAAAATTGAATAACGTTACGAAAAACTCACTTTTCACTTTGATGATGCAAGGGATGCTAGTAATGTTACAAGCCGCAGTCATGTGTAAATTCGGTACGGTGAATATTAAGCAATGACATGATTTCTCGACAGCTTCTACCAAACACACGAGGTCACAATCGGAGTGTCGGTATTTTTTGAAGTAAGGCAGGTGTTGTTCATCGGCGAAGTAGCACTTACGACTGTATTTTAAATACAATAAGTTAGTGTAATCTTTTTTAAGTGACAATTTAGGTATTTAGCACGGCTGAGATTTGAAACTAGATTAGTTGTGCGGGCGTCTTGTGAGCCCCCACGGGTAGGGTAGAAAGGTACCACCGCCCTGCCTATTTCTGCTCGTAAGCAGTAATGCGTTTCGGTTATAACGATACTTAGGACTCATATCTGAAGGTGAGTGGCGGCATTTAGGTACGTTGTTGACGTCGATTTGCTCAACCACTTAACACTATGTAGGCAGTGAGCTCGTTCACCCATCTAAGCAGTAATAAACGAAAAAGCGCCTGTAAAAAGAGAGAAACATGTACCTACATAATATTTTAGATTTAGGATAAAAGATTAAAAGGAAAGTCTTTGTGTTCCATTCGATACCTAACTGAAAACAGTTATCGATATTTGATCTTTTTCCTCCTTCCTTTTCCACTTTTTTTCCCTATCTAAGCTGAGAGCCTTGTGAGGCTATTTCAGCGAAACCTTAACTAGTAGGTGAGCTCGCGGGGCTCAAACCTGACGACGTTGCTAACACGAACCCTAGCAAGAGCCGTGCTTCGCAGAATCTACCACCGGATCGGAAACGCGACTCACTGAGAAGATCCGGCGAGAAACTCAGTGGGCTGTGTCTGAGGGTTGATTTACTCGTCGAGCCCTTCGTCGCAAGCGACGGGTTCGACGAGAACGATGACCGGTGCTTGAGGTACCTAAAAGTACCGTTAGTGGATCGGGAGGATCCGAAATGACGTGTTTGGGGCGACGTCGACTGCTTTCCATTCTGTCCGCAGGATCAGGAATGTAGTGACCGGCGGCTATGGTTCTCGTGTCGTGCCGCTGTATCGAAGTGGGCCTTTTCCGCATTTGAACTATATTTTGATTACAGACATATTTAATATATGATTGAATTTATTAACTTGTTTAATTAATATTTAAAGTATAAAATTGCTATAGTCTTAATAATCTGGTTGATTCATATATAACATTGTTACGTTAATGTTTCGAAATCGCAGTACACAATACAGCAAGCATCTAATCTAATTTCAGATACTTGCGCTATAAAACTGGTAGATATTTGATTGGTTTACCTCCATGAAGGCAGAGCTTTTACATCATCTGAACAGTAAGTGTATGTCGCATGTATCAGGTGGTAAGTCTCTGTACCAGGCTCGACGAGGATTGATTCGTGGTCCACTGGAAATTCTGTCCAGTCTGAATACATAACCTAGAGTTTGTTGAACATAATATTGTATTATTACTGCTAAACCGAATATGGTAGGCGTAGAAAGAATACAAAGCTTACCAAAGTTTACATTATTCACTTAAGTTTATTAGAAGGAGAAAGTTATAGGCAGTTAGACACAGTTCACAGATAAAGAATAGAACGGAAATTGAAAGACAGATCACAAAACAGCCAAGTACAGGAAAAAGTTTCATTGGTCTCCTAAATAGCGGGATTTTAGCTTGGAGGGATGTTAGGAGTAATATTTTTAATGACTTATAGGGATGACCGCGCGTTTCATCTGTAGATTCTATATTAGCAACATTACCAGGAGGGTGAGTAAGTTCAAGGGCTTGCTAACAACTCTTGGAGTGCCTCCGAGGAAGGCTTAACAATTTAAGGGCAGCACCTTTGCAATTACATCTACTGCCGGATCTAAATCGCGATGCACTGGTTAGAAACCCGGTAAATAGCTCAGTGAGCTGATGCTATGGGCTATGAAAAGTCATGTTGAATTCTTCGACACCGTAAGCACCGACGATGAGTATGGCGATATGTGCTTTGATCGCTGCTGCCCTCAAAATAACGTGCAATATATATAAATTAGTTATTTTTTCGAATAAATTTTTCGTTAATTTACGAACAGTCTTCAATTTCAGCAACAGTTCTAAAAAGTACCGGTCTATAGGTACGCTTTTGTTGTTTGACGTAGGGTAACCTTCAAAGTAAAGGCTACAACGATTTGGGGTTCCTTATGTGATTTACTCCGTTTTTAAACACCGGTAACATTATTGTTATTAAGTACCTTAATCGCGCCGGCGTAGAGTACTGTGTGTGGAACCGAATTCTCAGGATCAGAATCGACGACAACTGTCAGTCCGTCGTGAAACTCAGATCCACGTATCATGAAAGGTTTAAAATTGTTAATAGGAACATTCCTGAAAGACAAACTAATGAGAGAATTGCTAGTAAGTTATGTTAGTAAAACAATACATTCTTTTGTTTAAAAAAAAAAAACTTGAAAAACAAATTTCGTTTTACGCTTCTATATTGATTCTACTTTCTGATTGTTTCTTATTGCAGTAATGACAGAGCCCATGTAATACACAAATGGTTGCCAAATGCATAAAAATCACAGCGTTTGACGATAGACCCTCCTTAAAACATGAGATCTAATGGCCATTTTCACCGACATTTAGGGATCCCTTAACTGCATTTAAGGAGCCTCAAATTAAAAATTCGTTTTCACCAACCTTTAGGTATCTCCTAAGTTCTTAAAAGGCTCCATAAATTTAGGAACCCGATTTTTCGTTCCTTAACTGTCTCCTAACACTAGAAGACAGTTTTATGTCTACTGTCATCTATTTCAATACATAACATAACATGCTTATTAAGTATTAAAAACTAATAGAGTTGTGTATGATTACTAGACTCATTTTAAAGATTACCTTTTCTCTTTAAATTCGTAAAAACTGTTGAAAGAACAACAAATGCCGTATGCAGTTATGATCGGACGGAACAGTTTATTGCATTTCGGATATTTACGACGTTCTAAATAACACAATTTGAGGAAGTTGTCACATTTTTGGGGCAGCGCTCCCATCACTTCAGGTGCCTGGAGAATAAATTATGCATCAAAAATAGACGTCATATCAGATCAAATCATTAAACTATGTTCAGGGGTTTTTCAAATAGGTATAAAATTTCTTTTAACACGATTTTTTATTTTTTGTTGCTTAGATGGGTGCTCACATCCCACCTGGTGTTAAGTGGTTACTGGAGCCCATAGACATCAACAACGTAAATGCGCCACCCACCTTGAGATATAATTTCTAAGATCTCGAGTATAGTTACAACGGCTGCCCCACCCTTCAAACCGAAACGCATTACTGCTTCACAGCAGAAATAGGCAGGGTAGTGGTAGATACCCGCGCGGACACACAAGAGGTCCTATCACCAGATTTTGCAATGCCTTATACAAGAATGGATGGGAGAGAGACCTCTTTGTCTAAATCGTGTTTTAGAATCGTTAACAAACCTTTAAATAATAACTGTGTTGTAATTTAACTTACATCATACCGATTATCATCCAAAAGCGATTGTAGATGGGCTAGTAGAGTGATGTTTGCATTTTTCAATATTGTATAGAAACCTAGAAGCTTGGGAATGGTTTCTTCTAAATTAATTGTTAAATTGCCGTCACTAAAACAATCAATTTATTCATTGTTATTATTTAGAACAGGATAATTAATTGAATAATATTAAACAGATTTTTTTTTAGCATGTAAGGTTTGTTTTCCCTTACTATGGCATATTAATTAATTATCATAATGTTGATGCTTCTATTTTGCAATACTCTTGTAGGTTTTATTTTGAAGTTGTTTCTAAGTTTCGAATCGATGATAGCAAAGATTTTGAAAAAACTAACTGTGAATTGTATAAGTGATTTTTTCTTCTTCTCAGTCGTGTCACTCTTGACAGAGTGGTGGTGATCGACATGTAGTGTTGGAAGGGGCAGACTTGATGCGTATAATTGTATAAGTGATTACCAATGTAGAAACACTCAAAGTATTTGGAGTATTAAGTAATACGAAGTTCCTAGTAGATAAATAGTTTGAAGTATTTTGTATTGATAATAAAATTGCTATCACTAACGGCCCCGAAGTTTATATTTACTTTCCTCATACTTATAATTGCTATATAGTTTTCCGTGTCGTTTGTTGATAATAAAGTAATTAATACTAGATTGCCGTTTATTTTAAATGTATCTGTTTTGCCTGAAATAAGTCAAATCAAATAGTACGTATAGCTCTTCTGGAAAAATGGGAACTAAGGAGTGGGTCCCTATTCCTTCCTCTCCCTTCCATTGGAGCATTAGCGTTTACCTGTACCCTATTAATTAAAACCAATGATGTCGCTCCGGCAATTAACAAATGTTCCAGATTCAGCAGCCCCAAGCTAAAATTATCTTTCATGATTAAATCAAATCCAACATGACCGTAAATTTTAGGATGACTTACCTTTCAATTCAAAGTTCGCTGTGCATTTAGACCACAATTAGCAAAATAAATCAACCAAACCGTGTTAGTTGAGCAAAATTTACAAGCCTCCTTTTGACTTGTATTTTCTTTAAGAAACTAAAACCCTTTAATGACTTACACTAGAGTTTTGTTGAGATGTTTCAGGCCACTCGCAGTTATCTGGTTAGGTGAACAAATGGTTATTGCGGGATGAGGAAGGTTCTGCACCGGCTCGTACTGGTTCTCTATTGTAATACGGGTTGGTATCTCGTTGAAACGATTATAGAGAAGCCAAGTTAAAGTGCAGGCTAGTGAGAGAACCATCGCCAAGTTTAGCGCCCAAAAACATCTGCGTCAAAAAGATTTTTTATAATAATTTTACGTTAAGTCTTTTTTAATCACGACCGTACATAATTCTAATTACTCTTAAAAATTTTTAATGATTGTTATGATTACTGGTTGCCCGGAGGCTTTTCCACTTTCACCAGGACAGTTGGGCGAGCAAGGGCGTGGTAGGAGCCAGGAGGGGCGGGATTTGCTAATAGCTACCCAAGCGCCTCCAAAGGGACTTAACGACTCAAGAGTAGCTGCTTCGCGAATGCATCTACTACCGGATCGGAATCGTGACCCGCTGAGAAGATCCGGCGTGAAACTCAGCAGGCTGATGCTTAGGATAGGTTGCACGTCGAACGGTTTGCCGAGTTATTGTTATTGGTTGATGGATCCGTAAGGACGTGTCTAGGGCGTCGACGGTGACTGGCTCCTGCGTGATCAGGAATCGGGGAGTAGTCAGCGCCAGCAACGATAAAGCGATTGTCATGACGCATAGCCTTATCGAAGTACCGCTCCGACGCTGACTTCATGTATTTCTGGGTTGATTCGAGGCCCAGGTCGTCGTGTAGGTCAACATTCCTCACGAACTACGGAGCTCCGTTGGCTAACCTGTAAAAGCGGGATTGTAGGCATTGGAGAGTAGGTATCTATGTGTGTGCAGGCCGCGTGAGCGAACCCCACACTCGCGTAAGTCACGATGGGCATTGTGCAAGTTTTGTAAAGTATCACCTTGTTCCGAAGGGACATTTTACTCTGCTGAACTGTAATCATGGGGTAGAGTCTGCCGAGAATAAACACGGCACGGTCGCGGACTGATTTTATATGCAGGCGGAATGTCATGGATCCATCCAGGGTGACTCCCAGGTACTTGACCTTTCTGGCATAGGGTATAGGTTGGCCGAAGAGGGTGATCGGGGGTGTAATATTTCTCCCCTAATGCGGGGAAATAAGTATAAATAAGTAGCGAACCGGAAATACGGAGACGGACTGGCATGGCAAAATCTGCAATAACCCAACTGAGCAAAATCTGGAGAGACCGTAATATTACCCACCGAACTAAAATACATCTGGTCCGCCCCTAGTCCCTTGTCTTCTCCATTGCTCTATATAGTGCAGAGACGTGGACACTCAAAGCCACAGATAGGTAGAGAATCAACGCTTTTGAGATGTGGTGCTGGCGACGTATGCTACGAATACCATGGCCGGCCCGCCGCACCAACATATCTATTCTCAGGCAGTTAAAAATAGAAAAGATTCAACGTCTATCCACAATCTGCCTACAAAGAATATTGCGGTATTTTGGTCTTGTTTTTTTTTTATTTTTTTTATTGCTTAGATGTGTGGACGAGCTCACAGCCCACCTGATGTTAAGTGGTTACTGGAGCCCATAGACATCTACAACGTAAATGCGCCACACACCTTGAGATATAGTTCTAAGGTCTCAGTATAGTCACAACGGCTGCCCCACCCTTCAAACCGAAACGCATTACTGCTTCACGGCAGTAATAAGCGGGGCGGTGGTACCTACCCGTGCGGACTCACAAGAGGTCCTACCACCAGTAATTACGCAAATGATAATTTAGCGGGTTTGATTTTTATTGCACGATGTTATTCCTTCATCGTGGAAGTCAATCGTGAACATTTGTTGAGTACGTATTTCATTAGAAAAATTGGTACCCACCAGCGAGATTCGAACACCAGTGCATCGCTCGATACGAATGCACCGGACGTCTTAACCTTTAGGCCACGACGACTTCATGTTGCACGTAGGGATACCAGCAATTTGGAACGCCTCGTGGTGACCGGTAAAATAGAGGGAAAAAGGCCTAGGGGTAGAGGTCCCAAACGATGGTCGGACCAAATAGCGGAGGAACTGGGGATACCTATCAGCGACGCACTCCACCGGGCTGCAGGGCGGGATCGATGGAGACAGTTGGTTGACGAAATCGGACGGAGTCACGATCCTCAGCAGTGACGAACCGATCGAAGAGAGAGAGAACGGGAGGAAATACGTGTTGAGTTTTCCCTTTAAAATAGCACTGCTATGCCTTTCGCAATTTTTTTCGCCTTTCTTTGATGTCCATATTCTTAAGTCTTAATAAAAACAATAAAGTTTAGATGTTATTTGCCATTCTCAAATACACCCTTACCTGAATGCTGTTGTACCTTAAGATGTTAAATCAAAGTCAGTTAATAACTATAGCTGGGAAAAAATCACGCACGATCATCCGGCCCCAATTGTGTTATCGGTACCAGAGACTGATAAACTTACTTATTATATATGTTTAATTATATACATATATAGTTGAAAAAACACCTAGACAAAGAGCAAATCGGCCTGTTGATTACACAATGTTTGCTCGACGGGGGAATCGAACCCACGACCCTCGGCGCAACAGCTAGAGGCGCTAACTACAGCACCACCGACTCAGTCAAACAAAAACATTATGAAGAGGGAGAGAGAGAGAGACCAAGCAAATAACTATAGCTTATCTGTGTAATTTAAGTGTCCCCGTTGACGAATTTACTATCATTCAAGTTAATAGGTATTTGTAATGTAGACGGGGTATTTTTTCCGTTTTTTTTTTATCATTCCAGTATAGTTTTGTCTATTATAAGAGCTTTTATATGCTAATGCGTCTCTTATAGAAGAAATGAATTACCCTTACCGTGATATCCCATCAGGATACAAATAAAAATATTTGAGACTTGTAATGGTCCCTTTTAAACAAAACTTTCGAAATAACGTTTTACGATTATTGTTCATTGCGGCTAACTGTTTCTGTTAACTAAATGATACTGAAGGCTTTCAGTGAGTTAAAACAACGTTAATCAGTCACGATATATTCACGGTAATTAACGAGCTTAAATAATTAATTATGTATAAACAGAAATGACTTTCAATCTATCAATATATCTGGGTGAAATATAAGTAATCAATTTAGATCGTTTTTGGTGATTTCTAATTAAATTTTATTGTATTAATTTGATTCGATCGATTAGTTCGTGACGACGACGAATGTCTGATATGATGAAGTTAAAGATCGCGAAATCAACATAGTTTTTGTTTGAATGTTTGTTTTTTTCTATGCTAAGCTAATACAAGTCCATTCAGATCTACATATACCACCACGTGGTGAAAAGACACCATAAATTTAAACTTATCGCGAATTCATAGTTCAAATAATTGACATTTATACAAGTGACTTTATGTTGAATTTTATTGATTGAGCTAATAGACATTTAGAGCTCACTTTGCGTCAAGCGATTAGCGGACACCACAAAATAAATATAGTTAATAGTACTACTGAGCTGCTACTATTTTTTTTCTACCTATGCTGATAGCCTTGAGAGCCTACTTCAGCTTCGCCCTAACGTTTGTAGGCGAGTTCACGGGGCTCAAACCGGAGAGTTGCTAACACTCTACCACCGAATCGGAAACGCGACCCACTGAGAAGATCCGGCGAGAAACTTAGTGGGCTGTGTCTATGGGTTAATTCGCTCGTCGAGCCCTTCGTCGCAAGCGACGGGTTCAACGAGGACGGTGACCGGTAACTACTATTACTAATAATCAAACTGAGCCCTCGAGCTCGCCCGCATATCTTGGTGAAATCGTAAACGTCAGCCAAACTATACTGAGACCTTAGAACTTATATCTCAAAGTGGGTGGCGCATTTACGTTGTAGATGTCTACGGGCTCCAGTGACCATTTAACACCAGGTGGGCTGAGAGCTCGTCTGCATAAATTATCGTACTTTTGTTTTAAACAAAGAATTTTTCAGAGTACGTAAGTTTTAAAATAACAAATATTCATTATTTCGATATTCATAAATGCAAGCATGTCATTCTAGTGTCGTAAATAAATAATGAAGTCACAGCTGGCTGGGACTGATATCGCCCATATTAAATATAGGTGAGTTTGACCAATATTTGTAGGGCTCCGTATATAAATCATCATTTATTTCTAAATAAATGTATTAAAGTGACAGTAAGATGAGCATATTGATCACCGCTGAAACCGAGAACTCGTTGAATTGTGATCGCGCACCGAAAGGCGCAACGCAGGTTTTTTTTAATTGTTTAGATGGGTGGACGAGCTCACAGCCCACCTGGTGTTAAGTTGTTACTGGAGCCCATAGACATCTACAATGTAAATGCGCCACCCACCTTGAGATATAAGTTCTAAGGTCTCAGTATAGTTACAACGACTGCGCCACCCTTCAAATAGAAACGCATTACTGCTTCACGGCAGAAACAGGTCTGAATTTGGACTGACGGTGATGCTGAAGGATACAGGAATTCGTGCAAAGCTACGGTGTACCATAGGCTATTATCGTTCGAAGCTTTGGACGAGACCCGCCTTTCGTTAGTGCCGTAAGTTCTAAATATAAGGTGCGCAAAAAAGTTCTCCCTGTTTTTCAATATATAACTGCAGCATTAAATGCTGGTCGATTTTTGATCGTGTGAAAATGTCTGATTTTGTACTAACTAAGCAACATTTGCGGGAAGTGCTGCGTTTCTTTTGTCATTCGAAGAAACCAGCGGCTGAAACGCGTTGAGAGTCTATGACGACGCGACGCTGCTACTTTGTTGGCTCGTCCAAATATATGCCCTACGGAAGTAATGCTACCCAAACAACTGTCCAGGTCAGCATTATATATTATGAGCTGTTGGAACCGAATGAAACCATAGCTAGGGAACGGTATCGAACTCAATTAATGCAATTAAGTCGAACGAAAAACAGCCATGATGCGACCAGACCCACGATAAAGTGATTATCCTGCAACGCTTGGACTCACGTTGTCAAACCCCTTAATACCCATTTGGAAATGCTCAAATCGAAAGTCCTACCCCACCCGCCATATTCCCCAGATATTGCACCATCCGATTTAGTATTTGTTCTGTTCGATGGCACATGGCTGGTCAGCAATTTCACTCACATACAGACATAAAGGAATGGCTTAATTCGTAGATTACTGCAAAACAGTTAGGATAGGTATATATGCTTCTAACGGCAGGGATCAGACAGGGCGACGGGCGGCGCGGCTGACGGTCCTCAATCACGCTTAGTTTGCGCACTCAAACGGTGAGAACAGATGCGGTTGCGTACATCGCTTGTTTATATACATCGCGAGATACATTTCGAGAATCATTATTTACGTTCTTCATAATGTTTCACACTTTTCTGTCTGTGGATGTGCTTCGACAGCAAAATACAAGGTATCTTCAACAAGGTAGCAGTACAACACATGTAAATGTAATTAGGTTGGTTAGTTGATTGTAAATTAATGATTGTTGTACTACATTTCATGCTTCTCCAAAACATATTTTGATAGTAAAATTTAAATTACGCTATACACTTTCGATGAATTACAATGAAAAACAAGCACAACGATCCACAAAGGATTTCGTATTTCCCTTTGAAGATACGGAACTCTAAAAATTTGATTATTTAAATGGGATTTTCATTTTACATTGTCATAAATAAATATTGAGCAGCGATTCTTCATTTTTGTAATAAAACAACATTTAGGAAAAATGTATAAAGTGATTTATTGAGAAATAGTCATTACACGTTTTCAAAAATGTTAACAACTTCAAATATTTTATGCAGTGAGTTTAAAAAAATTTGCATTGCAACGTTTGGTTAGTAGGTACACACAATCAGTGCCTACATGGTAATAAAAAAAAAAACGACAGCCATAAATATCAATTCAAACGTACTTAAATAGCCTTTCAGTTATTTTAATAATCTTGGCGAATAGTTGGTTTTTTGTTTAATTTGATAATTGTAGGTACTTACGCCAACTTGGTGAGTTAGCATTGCATTTACATGTGATTTTATTTAGGGAGTGGATACTATAATAAGCTGTTGTTGGCAACACTAATATAGAAGATTGATTCTGCGGTGAAAGAATGCACGAAGAATAAAATCTTTGTAAAGTATATTTAAGATTTATATAAACTTGGCTTAACATTCACCATTTATCTGTGTTTAGTGCGTGATACTACCGTGCAAGGATGAGCAACACGCGGCTCGCCGATCATTTCTAAAATTGAATTTGAATATTTATTTTAAATAAAGTTTCGTAAATTATTAATAAGAGATAAAGGATGGGCGGCCCGCCAAAAAAAAAATTAAATTTAAATTTGCCCATTGATTGAAAAGGTTGCTCACCCCTCGCAATCGCACACAAACAAATGCGAGACCAACCCCGCAATTAGTTCAAAAATAATGTAAAGGCATCCATGTTAAATAATATGAACAGTGTTCGGGTAGTCGGAGCACTTCGCTATTCAGATTAAAAACTTAGTTATTTATCAACCAATTTCCTTAATCTTACTATTTTATATATTCGATAACATAAGTTTATAATAAATAATCAGTATTGGAGCAACGTAAAGATTAGCGGGGAATGTTTAAGAAAATGTGTACAAATTCAATTAATTACACAGCCGTGATATACATAACATACGATAACATTCAAAAACACTAGATACAATTATTTGGACATCAAGCGGGACAGTACGCTATACTAGAGTTTGAGATTCGCGTTTAATTGACTCACGCAATTTAGTTTCAGGATCAAATAATTTTTATCGGTTGATATAAATACTTTCACTCTATGTAGTGGTTGGCTTCTGCGCGGGTCAAAATGGTAAACTAAAACTAGTGAAAATAATATTAATCTAAGGAACTCCGTATATGTTTGTGTAAATATTTGCATAAAATTAAATTGTAATCAAAAGTAAGTAAGTGAATGGCACAAATAGTTATTGTAAAAAAAGATTAATAATCAATATGTAAATCACAACAATAACCTTTTTCTGATTTGATTGACATATTCTTTTTCTTTCAAATGTGGTAGTGTAATTAACTTAATGAATATATTATTTAGTATTAGAAAGAACTTAACCTATTAAAATAATGTTTTATAGAAAGCTAACGTTACACGTATAAACAAAGATTAATAAGTAAATGTGACTAAAATCTATAAAATGACTTATACTGTTTTCCTCAGAGCCCCCAGAGTCCTAGACTCTACAAAAATCATTATTGACTAACGATATTCTTTAAAAACGCATCAACATCATAAACGCATTTGACAATTTATCATATAAACTCGTGAAGATTTCCTTCCATTAGGATATCCACCTACACTATACAAAGTGCAAACAGCGATTCCCGAAGCAAAAATTAATATCGAATAATTTTCTCAAACGAAACTATTATTTTCCAGGCTAAGCGTAACGTCATATTGTTTTAATTATAATATTTCGTGTATATATGTATCGATTCGGGAAAAAGTGGACAACTTGTAGGTATAAGAAACAGAAAGCATGTTACTTTTTATTATTATTTGAGTAAATTTATTTAAATCTAGTTTGTCTATTGAGAGTAGGACTGTCTGTTAGTGAAGTTTATTCGATATCGTTGGTATGATGCGGTACAGGTTGACCTTCGCAAATTTGAGCCGGTCAAAAGAGGGCGTTGGATTGAGAATTACGGAGGGGTCTCGTTTCGAAATTCAAAATTGACTTCGGGTCACTGACCCAGACAAATAAGCGCGAAAATTTCAGGCGAGTTTTTTTTTTATTGCCCTTGTAGGCAGACGAGAATACGGTGAGTGGTAACCGTCGCCCATGGACTTCAGCAATGCCAGGGGCCGAGCCAAGCCGCTGCCTAGTTTAGTAACGTTATCACACCGGAAACCATAAGGCTACCAAAAGTTCGGGAACCTTGCACTTAGCATAAGGTAATATAATATATATATTTATAATAATATAATACATATAATCGTAATATATGTAAATAATCTGATGCTCATCCATAAAAAGCTATTATTTTCCAACGCCAAACTACATAATACAATTTGGTTCGTTTACATTTTTTTTTATTATTCAAAATACTACTAAAACACTATTGTATTAGAACATTTAATACACATTACAAGCACCTCCATATGTAGAGAATTATATTAATGTCATTTGGACAATACTATTCATATACATATTATTTAAATAATTCTTTCGTTTTTGAAAACTGAAGTAACAAGTCTCATACGAACATTGGTCAATGGTAAATCTAAAAAACGATTGGATTATAAAAACTACACGACCGACTAATAATACATATTTCTCTTTCTCGCACACCTACAATATACATAGGTCAAATTATAGGTACCTACATAGTGAAAACGAAATAGAATTTAACTGAATAATTCCACTGTTAGTGGGTAGGTACCTAACGCACTCACATCGACAATTCAAATAATATTGGGATTAGATATATTTGATGTCTATTTAAAATTTTTAAAGCATAATTAAAATATTTTATAAACATTATTTGGTTAAAGGGTAAGATGTCGAGTGTATAAAGTGACTCAAATCGTACGGCAGATACATACTTTTCTTTATAAGCACGTAGCAACATCGTGTTTACGAACGATTTTTACGATGAAAGAGTAACATCAAGCTTAATAAAAATCCAAATTTACAAACTGCTTAAATACATGTAGAAGCATATTGTGAGCTGGTAACCACTGAAAAGCAGATGATCCGTCAAAATAAAGAAGCACAACAGGTTATTTCCCTGGTAGCCTAAGGGGTATTCAAACTACGCCCCGATTGATAGGTACTCTAACGGGCTCAACCTGGGAGGACTTGCTAGCCTTAGCAAGAGTAGTGCTTCGCTGAATGTGCCCCCGGATCGGAATCGCGACTCACTGGCTAAAAGCACTGAGAGTGGATCGGCAGGATAGGATGTGCTCAGGGCGACGCCGCGACGGTGACTTTGCATTGCCCTGCCGTCTGGGTGGGTATGTAATTTGATAAAAAGCAGTTATGTATAATATAAAAGAGCCTTCAACAAGGTGGGCCCTGACATTATCCATCTATCTATATAAAAACGACCAGACAGGAATTTTATTATTGGTTCGTCCATAGGACAAAGTGTTGTACACGACCATTGGAACGTAGCCCTTGCAGAAAAATCTTTAATAACAAAGGCTGAGGCCATAGGCCATAATTTTTGAGGAAAAAAAAACTGGTTTTGGAATCAAATTGAACTAAAGAAGGTGAGCGCTATGTCTACCAATTTGTTTGCTTTTCTCCACACTTATTCACAGATTCCAAGCAAAATAAAAAATCCACTATTATTACTCGCCCAAACTTGAAGCAAGAGTAAATTAATAAAATAAAACAATTCACATGACTTGCCATCTTGCGTTCCTGCCAAAAGGCGGGAACAACGTAGACAATAACCGTTTGATTAATTACAGTCTTGGCGCTTAGATGTATTATGCTTGTTTCTATTTAATAACTTTTATTAGACGCTGTCCATAAAATAAACTCGTTAACGAGACGTTTGACGTTTTCTAAAAATTTCTCTTTGTGTTGTTTTTAGTAAAACACTGTCTCGTAATCTAATCTTTTTTTTTATATACCGCATTTTATTATGAAGGGTTAAAGCTCTTTAAAATATAAATATTACGACATAGTGTTTTTGTCTATGCCTCTTGGATTAAAACAAGTAGTATTTCCAAGAACAAAGCTGTAAAAATTATAATATCACTATCTATTCATTTATAAAATGATCTTTTTAATGTTTTAATTTTCTCGAGTATTCGTCATAATTCGTCATAATTTTAATCCCTATTTTAAATTGTGTAACTGTTTTCATATTACTTCTTAAGGTAAGATCGATGCCTCCAATGAACACTACTCTAACTTAAAATTTTGAAATTCTCGTTTTTCACGCAAATCGCTTCACTATTTTCAAAGTATTACAAATTCATTACCTATTGATGGGGTTCGAAGCAAGAGTAAATCAGCTAGTTACACAAGAAAAAACCATAAATATATCTGCAATAATAAAGATTTTACCAACTTTTGGAACGAAGTTCCTTATCGCGCGTTGTGAAAGGGGGCTAGACGGAAAAAAATCTTACGAAAAGTTGTCACGACACTTTTTAGGTCCGTCATTCTGACCAATCAACGTGTAGGCGCTTATCGCGTGATATTGCTCGTATCCGATTGGTCCGCGTAATGAGTACAGTTTCTCGAGATAGCGTTTCAACAATAGTAATTTAGTTCATAGTATTGTTTTTTTCTTCTTCATAATGCCGTAATTTATTATTATAACTTAAAAAAAAAAATACAATTCCTTCACTAATTAATCGAAAGGAACTTCGTTCCATCCGGGTGTCCCTTGACACCTATCAAGTTTTTTCTTTTAAACTCTCCTCCTGTAAACCTACGAATTTGGAGTTAGAGTAGTGTTCATTGGAGGCATGGAGATGAAGTTAGCGCTACACGAAAATTCGTAATCGAATATAATAACCTACTAAGAATCTTACGCAACTAATAACGAAAATTTAATAAAAACATGCAATTTTATAAATAGTAATTTTTAGCCTGAGTTTTATTTTAAGAAATGTTTTACTGAATATTTACATAACTCATCATTTAATATAGCAATTGATTTTAGGTACGTAGATATATTAATTATAAATTTTAAAGTTGTTTGACCTAGTGTCGTTAATTGGGAAATGAATAGCATAATTTTCTTAAATTGTAAATATAATAGGTAGGTATTTAATTTATTTGGGCCGTCCTAAATTCTGTGTATAATATGAGTATTCAATAAATATCAATTCTAGTACATTATAACTATCTCACAAGTGTTGTGCGCTGCAAGTCTTTATATTAAATATATTATATTATAAAAAGGTTATCATCAAAATCTTTTTCGTTTCAAAACTTAAAACTTGAAACTTTTTCGATCTTTTAAGTATGTAAGTACATGAAATCAGCTTTTATTATTATTAATTGATACATCAAGTGCACCGTTTTCACTCGAGTACCTAAGAGTCAACAACAGCTACTAAAACTATAAGTTAGATAATGCATACTTTTTGACTAATCCAAAACAATTTACTTGTTTTGAACATGTAGGCAGCAGCTTGGCTCTGCCCCTGACATTGATGAAGTTCATGGGTGACGGTAACCACTGATCATCAGGAGGGCCGTATGCTCGTCTGCCTACACGGGCACCAATAAATAAAAAAAACATGTGACTATTTTCTTAGAAATCTAAAGAGCCTGTCTGTAATGAAAGTAAAATACACCTCCTTTTATCTGGTGATATGTTAAAAATCAAATCTGCACGCTGATTTCAATTTTTGAACAAAAGGCTTCAAGTTTTATACAATATACGACCTATATACCAATTTACATACGAGCAAATTAGTAAGTAACCTTTACAAAATTTAATAAAAATCGGAACGTTACAATTCCTAATGCATTCAATGCGAAAAGCACGTACATATTACAATGTAATAAATTTCAAATTTATAATAACAATCGTTTCATTAATAATATTAACAACATCGAAACATTAAGAGCGTGCTCACGCGATACAATATTGTGCGATCATCAAAAAATTTCAGGCCGCAGCTGAAACTGGTGCTTAGGTATATGTACATAAATGTAATTGAAAAAAAAAGTGTATTAAATGTTACTGTTTTCATTCCATAATTTCAACCTTTTCAACAATTTTTTTCCTTCATTTCCATACACGTACTGTTCGCAAGGATTCGGATTGATTTAACTGTGACGTTATGAAAAAATCTCACACGAGTTCAACTATGCGGCCCGCACAAGAAAAACGGATTACGCGAAAAAACATCGCTGCTTTTATTAAAAAAGCGAACCACGAGTGTGGTCATCAAAAACGAAGTCACGTGGAAAGTGATTGAACCAGTGAAATCGTGGATGCATGGTTCCCCGATATAGAATGGTCGGGAAACGGCCTGCTCACGACTTGGGACCGAAGGGGAAACCGAGCCGTGGCGTAGACAATTCAGGCGAGCGCTTCCGTGCGCTAAGTCGGCGATCGTCAGGAATCCAACAGAACGTGCCACCGTTGTACCTGATAGTAAAACATCTAGTTCAAGAATTTTTTAAACTGAAGGAAACTTATATTAGGAAAATTATAATTTACGTAATTACTGGTGGTAGGACCTTTTGTGAGTCCGCGCGGGTAGGTACCACCACCCTGCCTATTCTGCCGTGAAGCAGTAATGCGTTTCGGTTTGAAGGGTGGGGCCGCCGTTGTAACTATTCTTGGGACCTTAGAACTTATATCTCAAGGTGATAGATGTCTATGGGCTCCAGTAACAACTTAACACCAGGTGGGCTGTGAGCTCGTTCACCCATCTAAGCAATAAAAATAAAAAAAATTAATGTATTTATATTTATATACTCAGAACAAAGAGCAAACAAAAAATCACAGCTATGACGTATTTTTTATTTAAAGTTATGAGGCTAAAGAAAAATACATCAAGTCTATCTGTGCGTGGAAAATCAACATGGATATCCGATATTAGTAGACTTTTAATCCTTTATGAACATACCTGCTCCCCTTGTCGGTCACATAACTCCCTCCAGTGTCGTTCTTCTTCACGTCCCGAAGAACTGTGTCCTAAAGAGAACCAGCCAACCATCTCGTTTCGTTTGACACTGCGACGCCACCAGACGGACACCATCAATGTCACCTCGCTTAGTTGGAAAAGAGCCACCTGTAATATGTAAATACTTTAGAAATGATTGAATAATCCTCAGAATTCTAAATAAAACCAAGTATTTTCATAGTTGCCAAATATGAAAGTTGTCGTGAAGTCGTCGTGGCCTAAAGGATAAGACGTCCGGTGCATTCGTGTGTAGCGATGCACCGGTGTTCCAATCCCGCAGGCGGGTACCAATTTTTCTAATGAAATACGTACTCAACAAATGTTAACGATTGACTTCCAGGGTGAAGGAATAACATCGTGTAATAAAAATCAAACCCGCAAAATTATAATTTGCGTAATTACTGGTGGTAGGACCTCTTGTGAGTCCGCGCGGGTAGGTACCACCACCCTGCCTATTTCTGCCGTGAAGCAGTAATGCGTTTCGGTTTGAAGGGTGGGGCAGCCGTTGTAACTATACTGAGACCTTAGAACTTATATCTCAAGGTGGGTGGCGCATTTACGTTGTAGATGTCTATGGGCTCCAGTAACCACTTAACACCAGGTGGGCTGTGAGCTCGTTCACCCATCTAAGCAATAAAAATAAAAAAAATTAATGTATTTATATTTATATACTCAGAACAAAGAGCAAACAAAAAATCACAGCTATGACGTATTTTTTATTTAAAGTTATGAGGCTAAAGAAAAATACATCAAGTCTATCTGTGCGTGGAAAATCAACATGGATATCCGATATTAGTAGACTTTTAATCCTTTATGAACATACCTGCTCCCCTTGTCGGTCACATAACTCCCTCCAGTGTCGTTCTTCTTCACGTCCCGAAGAACTGTGTCCTAAAGAGAACCAGCCAACCATCTCGTTTCGTTTGACACTGCGACGCCACCAGACGGACACCATCAATGTCACCTCGCTTAGTTGGAAAAGAGCCACCTGTAATATGTAAATACTTTAGAAATGATTGAATAATCCTCAGAATTCTAAATAAAACCAAGTATTTTCATAGTTGCCAAATATGAAAGTTGTCGTGAAGTCGTCGTGGCCTAAAGGATAAGACGTCCGGTGCATTCGTGTGTAGCGATGCACCGGTGTTCGAATCCCGCAGGCGGGTACCAATTTTTCTAATGAAATACGTACTCAACAAATGTTCACGATTGACTTCCACGGTGAAGGAATAACATCGTGTAATAAAAATCAAACCCGCAAAATTATAATTTGCGTAATCACTGGTGGTAGGACCTCTTGGGAGTTCGCACGGGTAGGTACCACCACCCCGCCTATTTCCGCCGTGAAGCAGTAATGCGTTTCGGTTCGAAGGCTGGGGTAGCCGTTGTAACTATACTGAGACCTTAGAACTTATATCTCAAGGTGGGTTGGCTTTTACGTTGTAGATGTCTATGGGCTTCAGTAACCACTTAACACCAGCTGGGCTGTGAGCTCGTCCACCCATCTAAGCAATAAAAAAAAATAAAAAAAATATACAATGTGAAAGTATTTGCCATATAAATACACGAATCGCTACAAATTAGAATTAGTAAAAATCAATGTGTTACCTTAACTTAAACCTAAGCTAATATATCTTTCGTTAATTTTAGATTTAGATTAAAGTAATTGTTTAATCTTTATTTTAAGAGCTAAGTTAATTTGCGATCATTTCGCCTCTAAATTCTAATTACAATATCTGTCTTAAATATAAAGTTCCAAATTAGAATGTGTCGGTTCCTAAAGTTGACAAAAGATTTCTAAGAAAGATTTGTATAGCTCAAGTTATATAAACAGGGATCGTGAGAGCAAAAAATGTTCAATTTTTGTATCAAAGCTGTATTTACATTTTGTTTTATGTTTTTTAATTTGCAATTTACATTGCATTAAAAATTGTTTCATCGATCAATTTAATTAAACGTGAAGAATACGTTTTATATCCTATTATATCTAATAATAATAATAATAATAAAAATCATTTATTGCCTTTCACATCAAATAAAATAAAATGAAATACAAATAAAAGAAAAGAAAAAAAAAGAGAAAAAGGCAAAAGGAGGTGGCTCAGCTATTGCTGTTCAAGGTCTATCTAATTCGGATATTTTATCGTTTTCATAAACTTTTTCCATTTAAATGTATGCTAAACAATGCTAAATATAAAAAGATTACCGAGGGGGCCGGACTCGATTTCCAAATAACTATCCTAACGTAATTACAAATCAATGATTTACCGACTCAGGCCAAAATACATTACAGAGTTTATTAATAATGGCTATATTTGAGCGAGCAATGTAAGATGAAGGTGGAAATTTGGTACGTTAAGTAACTTTTAATATCATTACATTACGTTTAATGTAAAAACAACAGAAATTTTAAGTTATCGATTGCAAATTTTAATCTTATTCGTGTCTGGAATTTTCAGTACTGTGTTTCACGTTTTCGGAAATGGATCGAATACGGCCTATCCAATAGGAAAAAAAAAATGATTTCTTACCTGAAATATAAACAGCTCCTTATACAGCGGATTGGATTGTGCCCGTCGTGTGGTGGACTTACAGCGTCCCATCTCCATACCGAGAGAGCTGATGAGGCAGAGCTTCACGTATGTATCGGGGGCCTTGTTCGGAGAGAGCTTTCGGAAATGTGTCCCTTTAATTATCTAACAGAAAAAGTTTTAATTATTAAAAACTATAAAACCATCGTTCACAGAACAATTTGACGACGATAGAACCGTCGGGAACCTTTCTTGGTACTAGTATCTCGCTATTTCTACAGCTAAGTCATTATAGATTAAACCAGCCTAACTATCTGTAAGAATATTGGGAATATTTCTCTTTCGCCTTATTTATTGAAACCAAAAGCCATGTTATTCAAAGTCTAAAATAGCGGGAACTTTAGAATAATTCTGAGAAGTGACGATTATGATAGAAACGACGAGAAAACGGCCCACTTGACAGTGAGTGGTTACCGTCGTTTATCACCATGGAACGTCAACAATACCAGCCTCAGCGAGCCGCTACTACTGAGGATTTTCTGCTGATTCATCCGGCTTAAATTCGATGTTCAATTTCACGACGTAGTTAAAATTTACAAAGTATGAAAGTGTTTCACTCCTAGGGGGCTTGTCTAATTACGTCAGTTTCAACCTGTTATGTAAAATAGTTAATTGTAGTTTAAAAAAACTAACAGAATAAGCTTTTATAGAAAATCCTACTAAAAACAAAAAAAATAGAAAATAAATTTTAATAAATTTGAATTAAAAATAGTGTAAGAAAAAATGATTTTATTGTAAAAAAGCGTGGGGTGCTTTTCAGGATATTATCAAAATAACCCTTCTACTCATATCTGTTCATAAAATATTTATAACTACTGATACCATGCACCTCACGCTTTTTTTACAATAAAATCATTTTTTCTTACAGTATTTTTAATTCAAATTTATAAAAAATAATTTTCTATTTTTTAGTTGGACTTCAATATTTTTTTTAAATATTGAATTGTCACCTGTCCTTAATAAGTATACCAAATTTCAAGTTAATACGTTTTGAAGGGGGCAAAATCATGTTCAAAGATTCCGTTACATACATACATACGTCTGAAGTTAATAATAAAAGCGTATTAATTACCTCAACAGACAAATGGCCAGTCGTAGAGTTGTACTGTAGACCAAGTAATAGTTCTGGTGCTGATCTGGCACTGCAGCAGGATGAGGCGGAGTCCGACCGAGCGAGGCTGCAGGCTTCACCGCCCGCGGCTCCTGCTGATGGAGTAGTCACCGTCGCTATAGACGAGGGACTGGCCAGCACCCCTGTTATTGTACTGGTCAACTCGAGTTTTGGTAGCTGAAAGACGTTTTATCTTTTTTTAATCCAACAGAATATTTAATCAAAGCTAATTTTACCGTTTAATATTCCGTTTTGTATATTTGAGTCGACTATTATCAAAGCCGGCAATGTGACTTTTGGACAATTATTGGTAAATCAGAAAAACGAATTATTGACTTTGTATTCCATTGGCAGTCACAAAACTCTTCTGAACGACATCTTAGATAAATAACAGGTTATAATATTATATATAAGTATTAACCTTTATTTAATGCAGGTTTTGAACCGTATTCTTTGAAGGAGACGATTATATTCAAATCAATCTGTATTGACATATCAATAATTTTTTTTTATCCAAATGCACAGATTGCCACCTTTGATAATAGACGACTCATTTATTTTGTACTAGCTGATCTACACAGACTTCGTAGTTCCTCAATCGATAAATAAAATACTTAAGCTTTTGTATAAAATAAACTTAAAACAAACAAAAGGAATCCGTCCGACGGGGGACACATCAAAGGGAAAACAAAATTGTTATTTTTATTTAATTCCGAGCATTTTCACGTTTATCTACCTTTTAAACCTTCTCTGGACTTCCACAAATAATTCAAGACCAAAATTAGCCAAATCGGTCCAGCCCTTCTCGAGTTTTAGCGAGAATAACGAACAGCAATACATTTTTATATATATAGATATATTTTTTGTCTTGTATATTTATTATCATTATATTTTTTCCAAACGTTTCCCAAAACTGCACAGTTTTCGCAAGCACCTATGACTACGACTTGCGAAAACCGAAGATAATACTATACGCGATTTAATTTTCTTGTTCCAAGCAATCTCCAAGCGTACCTGTAAGCTAGTTTGATGGTGTTGTCTCGGTGCGAGCTGAAGCCACAAATTGTTTTCTAGCTCGAGATTTAGAGATGCGAACGAGACAGCTGCCTCGCCCAGCAGCCGCTGCCGACGCATGCGTTCGCATCCATACACACGGATTCTCAGGCCAAGACCGTGTACATCCTCTGTGACAATATTAACAACACGTCCGCGTGAGCAACCTCATTTCCGAATATTGCTACTGTGGTTTTCCCATACAAAGTTTAGCTACGTCTAAAAACTTCCCGCCGTAATACGTACATCCTATGATGATTTTTTTTTAGGAAACGCGGCTGTATAGGGCTATGTAAATCGAATGTGTTGCGGCGCTAAGTAGATGTGCCATAGGAATTTGCTCATAAAAAAGGCGTCCAAAGATGTTCCGGCAAAATAAACATGATAACCTAGAGGTCGTCATATGACGTTGCGCCATTTCATAATTTTAAAACCACGACGTTGTAAGACGTTGCTCACGTGATCGTGTTCATTAGTTTCCTATTTATTAATATTGATTTATTTTGATTAATATTGATTATATATATTAATACAATATATTATTTAATATTAACTTAGACGGACAAACGAGCTCATGGTCTTTTTGATGTTGAGCGGCTCAACAGCAGTGAATGTCGGCCCACTTTATAACACAAGTCTGAAGTTTGAACTGCACCATCTTGCCTGCGACTGGCGCAAGACAATCATGCGTTCCGATTTTTAGGGGATATTCACGTTATAAAGTAATTAATACTAGGTCGTCCGTGAATTCGTTCACTCATATTCATACTACTATTAAAAATATGAAATGAACACTGAATGTTTGTGATGTTTTCACGCCCAAAACACTGAACCAATGAGGAAGCTCGATATGCAAATATTTCTGGGACAGAATAATAGGCTACCTTCCATCCAACCGTTGAGTGCGCTCCACGCGATAACTCGCATGAAATTTATTTTGGTCTATATAAATGAACTCTCACCAGGATTCATTTTATGTAAAACGAAGCTCTCCATGTATTGAGGATTCTCTCCATTTCGGATCTTTGATTTGAACTTCTGTTTCTTCAACGGCAGCAGAACAACTCGAACCTATTAAAAAATTCAAACGGCATTGCAGTCTAAAGCTATATAACAAGAGATCTCGGTGTGCTGTCTGGCGTCTGGGTCTGGCGTTTTTGAGATCCATCACGAACAGTGGTCACTCAACATCAGTTGAGATCGTCTAATCTTTCACCTTCATATACAATAAAAAAAACACAAAGCGAAAACACATTTTATTATATAATTCTCAAATGTACATACGTAAATTAAAATTAAAGCAATTAAAAATAGATGAGGGTATTACATAAAAACGTAAAATTACTACTTGACTATGAGAAACTCCCTTTTTTTTCCTACCTAAGCTGATAGCCTTGTGAGGCTATTTCAGCGTAACCTTAACTAGTACCTAGGTGAGCTCACGGGGCTCAAACCGGAGTGATGCTAACACTGACCCTAGCAAGAGCCGTGCTTCGCAGAATCTACCACCGGATCGGAAACGCGACCCACTGAGAAGATCCGGCGAGAAACTCAGTGGGCTGTGTCTATGGGTTAATTCGCTCGTCGAGCCCTTCGTCGCAAGCGAGGTACTCCTTTAAATACCTTTACTACACTTGTGTCGGAACCAACAACTTTTTTTGTATTTTTGTATACATGAGTGGAATTTCTTACCTGACTCTGCAATATCTGTCCGGTGGTTTTTAGAGGAAGGGAGCGGCCTTGCAGCACGTGTACCGTCATGCAACGAACTGGCGCGTCGTACAATAGTGTCAGCTCGATTGACCCACGCTCTTGAGAGCTTTCACCACAAAGCAGGGAAGTATCCTGATGGAAGGTGATGATTTAATTTTTAATTTTGTTTTGTTGCTTAGATGGGTGGACGAACTCACAGCCCACCTGGTTGGTTGGTTGGTTGGTTGGTTGTTACTGGATACTGGAGCCTGTTAATGGTTACTGGAGCCCATAGACATCTACAACGTAAATGTGCCACCCACCTTGAGATATAAATTCTAAGGTCTCAAGTATAGTTACAACGGCTGCTCTACCCTTCAAACCGAAACGTATTACTGCTTCACGGCAGAAATAGGCAGGGGAGTGGTACCTACCCGCGCGGACTCACAAGTGGTCCTGCCACCAGTATAAGAATGTAATGGTATTTTTTTATTTGGCACTCATGGACGAACGTCCCACCTAATTTTGTGTTACGGGTCCGGGAATGGACCCATAACCTCCTTAAGATAACTAAGATAATTAACAAAAAGAGGTAACAATTCAACTTTAGGTTTCACAATAAAACTTTAACAATATTAACCCTTTAACGTTCAAAGTTCACACGTAGTGGACATATAGTTTAGTCTGACATTAGTCTTAGAACAGCAAAGCGTTAAACCCATCAGTGCTTTTCAAATTGATGGTCTATATACGTTAGTCTAGGATGGATGGTGAAGTGAAGTGATCGTCAAGTCTCATGTGGGCTTATCCTACGTCCTGCTAGTCGTAACTGATTTATAATTTTACATTGATAAAGTTTCCCGGTCAATTTATTTCTAATGAAACAATTGATAGTAATTATTCTTATTACAATACCAACAGAATTTGTTAGAAATTTCCCTACAATAACATTCAAAGGTGATGATTAGTGTCACGGCAACATAAAAAAAAAACGAGATAGCGAAAGATCTCTTTCTTTAGTATCCTTTTTAGAATCTATTTTCTGTCATAGATAATATACTTTTCTGTACAGCATTAAATTTCAACAGACACGTGTAGTCTAACCTCAGGAGGATACAGGGATCATTCACTTGGTACCCTCATAAACGTTTTTAGATTGTAATTTATACTTATAAATACATTTAACATAAAGTTAGTTCTAAAGTGAAGTCAAGTCAAACTTGACCTCGTATAGGACTAGCCTTATCGCTCACGGTGCTGTGGCTTTGTTATAATCATTCATCCGCATCAATTACGATGAACACCGCATTAGAATGTTCATAAACCCGATATTCATATGCCTACGGACTTCAGTGTTAGTAAATGTTTTTTTTTTTTTTATTACTTAGATGTGTGGATGAGCTCACAGCCCACCTGGTGTTAAGTGGTTACTGGAGCCCATAGACATCTACAGCGTAAATGTGCCACACACCTTGAGATATAAGTTCTAAGATCTCAGTATAGTTACAACGGCTGCCCCACCCTTCAAACCGAAACGCATTATTGCTTCACGGCAGAAATAGGCGGGGCGGTGGTACCTACCCGTGCGGACTCACAAGAGGTCCTACCACCAGTCATAAAATTCATATTTTGATCGATTGTTAAAGAAAGACTCCCAAAAAAACTGGAAAATGAATTACTGCTAAACATAGGTTGGTTAACAATAATTTTATTGCATATTTTTTGAGCATAGTGTTCTTGTTGCTGTGTTTTATTTAGCATTTTTATTTAATGACCTACCTTCGGCATTAGGAAATATGAATAATTATATAACATATTATTGTTAACAAGTTTTTTCTTGTTGTGTTTTGCACACGATAATCATATAGACAACAAGCCCTTAATTTTAGATTAAGATCGGGACACATATATCTACTTTGGGTAGAAATGTTAGAGAGAAGGGTGGCCTTAGATGTAGAATAACTTTTTTGGTTCTCTATCTGCCATTTAAAGACTGTGTACTACTGTATACTTTTAGTTCTCCATTTCCATGCCGCACTTTAAATATTTTGCTATTGTAGAAATTGTAGGTAGGTAGGCAGCGGCTTGGCTCTGCCCCTGGCATTGCTGAAGTCCATGGGCGACGGTAACCACTCACCATCAGGTGGGCCGTATGCTCGTCTGCCTACAAGGGCAATAAAAAAAAATTGTAGTACATACGCGGTCACGTATTCAGCTGCCACATATTATTACATCATTAAATTCAGCTTGATAAATCACACTTGACGTACACTGTCAACTGAGTAACACTGTAACTGTGTGGTTAGTACGAGTTTTTTAACGTTCTCGATAGCGTAAAAGTTAACTCAAATTAATATGCAAATTAATATTCGAACAGCGCCTCTAGCGGCAAACGTAGTCAAACGTTCTAACTCCGTACAAATTTGAGTTAACTTTGACGCTATCGAGAACGTTAAAAATCTCGCTCTAAGCACGCTGCTCTACGCTCCGTGATGAAAATTAGTCGTTATTCCAACGCAAATAAAACAGAAGTTTCTATCTTCAAGTACAATGTGTTTCCCAAGATTTTTCCATCAAAAATGAAGGTTACAAATTAATAATCAGGATTTTCGAAGCAAAGGTAAATTCCTTCTCATTCAAGCAAAGGTTTTTACGGCAGGCACATGGTTGTACCGCTTAGATAACCTGTGTACTGTTTTGTCTATTAAGAATCATATCGCAGAGTGAGTGCTTAAGTTTTTTTTATGCGTCTGTGACATAATGGGGGGAGTTTGTTCGTCAATCTGTCAATAGAGCAAAGTTTCTAAAACTGAATTCTTACATTATGTGCTATGACATCACTATCGACGCTGCTCTGTGCTTCGAGTGTGTGAAGGTACTCCGTTCTCTGCGGCACAACATCGTCGATCTTTGTCTCCCTTAGCGTTGTTTCCCTCAGCGCTGTCTCCACCAGCTCCACTTCGAGCTTCACAGGGGCTGAAGCATTCTCGTTCTTCTCTTCGTAGTGACATTCTTCTTTATCCTACAAAAAGTAAATTGAGTAAATATTTTTGAAAGAAAAGAAAACAATGCTCCATAGTCATTAGGGTTATATAGATAAGTTAAATCAGAATAAAAACAAAAAAAAAATTACTGAAATTTCTTCGAACTGTAAATTAATTAACTAGATCGACATTTAAAATCTATTGAATTATACGGCTAATCCTAAAAACAACTACAGTACTACACAATTAAGAGATACACTGTTTTTTTTATTTTATAAGAAAACTCTACATGGGTACTAAACTAACTCACGTACGTTAAATGATCTTCAAGATAGCTTGAAGATAACTAATTAAATTACCTAGTTATCTTAATCAATTTGAGAGACTAAGCACATAAATATACGACACTCTGACCCATAAGGTTTGTCAAAAATCATGCATTTATCATCTCATAATTATCATCATCTGAACATAGTTCGTATCTTATGAACACGCTTTCACAAACTGGACCAGCGTCTATCCAACGGAATCTTTGAACGTAATTATCACCAACTACAAGATGTCCGCTTGAATAATCGCTCACGTATCAACGCCCGATGACAATCACCATCACCACCAGGCCACAGTCGTTGACTGCTGGACACAGACCTATCCTGATTTATACCACCGAGTCCGGTCTTCAGCTAGCCTCATCCATTCTTTATCAGCTAATAATCACTCTACCTAGCCGGGAGCATCCCACATTATGTCTACCAGTGCGCGATGTCCACTGAAGAACCCGTCTGCTCGAGCGATTGTCGGCTCTATAGCTTATATGTCCAAAAACCTTCTCAAAAGCATTGCGATCTTGGTTTTGAGCTAGGGATATTTATAGTCCCCTTCGTTGGACAATGCAAATTTTTTTATTCCTACCTAAGCTGATAGCCTTGAGAGGCTATATCAGCGTAGCCTTACCAGTAGATGAGCTCACAAGGCTCAAACCTGATGACGTTGCTAACACGAACCCTAGTAAGATCCGTGCTTCGCAAAATCTACCACCGGATCGGAAACGCGACCCACTGAGAAGGTCCGGCGAGAAACTCAGTGGGCTGTGTCTGAGGGTTAATTTACTCGTCGAGCCCTTCGTCGCAAGCGACGGGTTCGACGAGGACGATGACCGGTGCTTGAGGTACCTAAAAGCACCGTTAATGGATTGGGAGGATCCGAAATGACGTGTTTGGGGCGACGTCGACTGCTTTCCATTCTCTCCGCAGGATCGGAGATGTAGTTACCGGCGGCCACGATGAGAGGGTTCTCGTGTCGTGCCGCTTTATGGAAGTAAATGCAATTAGGTCGGAATATACCATTGCAGATTATAATGGCACTCGGAATGTACATTATATACTATATATTTGTTTATTTTATTATTATAAACAAAGAACGATTGAAATGGTTCGTCTTCAGAGTTTTACCGACTAATTCTTACCATTATTATTGGAAATTAGAATATTTACAAAAAATATTGTTGTGATGCGTGGCTAGGATGAACAAAATTTTTGCTATATTTCCCTTTGCCATCATAAAAGACTCGCGTTCATGGAGAATGTTATGACATTGATGCGAATAGAATTAAGTTATGTTTAAACCCCTCACCTGTTGTATGCGCAAGCGCAGGTCGTCATCCGAGTCGGAGGTCTCGAACGCAAATACACGATCGGGAAAATTGTTCGGTTTCGACAAAGCATCTATAACAACACAGACGTACGGACAATGTAACGTCGACAATAATATAGTTAGTTGTTCTGGCAGTCCACTAAATAATCTCTTCGTTCTTATTTGTCTGGAGTCTAATTGTATCAAACTAAAACGAATCAGTCTTTCACCGATTTACTAAAAGCAAAGGTTCTGTTTTATTACTGTTCTACATTCTAAAGCTACTAGGCTTCATGTATACTAACCATAAATTAACTGGGATTAATTTAGATTTTACATATTGACTAAAACACAATTGTTTAATAGTCACAGGTTTAACAACAAGTTTCTAACTATGTATCTATTAGATAAAATAGTAAAGATTATTAACCACAGGAACAAATATGAAATACGTTTTTGTAAAAAAGTGATTGTCTTACCGATCTGCGCATTTTCTATTGGAAGGCAAGGGGTCGGGTTTCGTGGATTTACAGCGAGGATGTCGTCGCAGCACTTGCGATTGAATACGGTCGAATGACACCACCTCCTGCCCAGGAATAGCAGTAGCACGAGCACCACAGCCGCGAACGCTGCCACCGCACTTATATACGCCGTCGCCTCAACTACATTATTGAACACGTTATTGACATCATAAGTATACGAGGTAAAATAAATTCCGACAGGGATGTTTACCATTTGTTGGGTTGATGACGCCAATGTTAGCCACCATTCTGGCTCAGCCCGGCCCCTCGGGGCGCATTCTGCACGTTCACACACTGCCCTAGTTTCTGATAAAAACAATAAATGAGCCGTTGAGTGTATTCGCAACAAAGCAAACCGTGGAAAATCGCTGAATGTTGCTACGGTCAGACTGTCAAAGCAGCGCACATGCGCGGTACGCGAGGGGCACGCCGGGGCGTGTGGAACATTCTGCGCGTCTATAGGACGAAGGACTTCGGATACAGGTGTACGTTCTATATACGTACAATTATATATAACACTGAAATCCTGGTAATCAAATTCGAGCACGACTTGAGCTCAGTAAAAGGACCATAGAATGACGGTTGTTCAATACGAAGAAACACATTAATTCATATAACCAAGGTCAATCCCTAAGCATCATTAAATATTAACTGATTGATGATAATCTTTTAGAACCATACACGTCAATAACTTTCTCATGCTATTTTTGTAAAGACGTTAATAATTTACGTTTTTGATACTAACAAACTCGAACGCTCTGTAAATGTGTGTCTTCTATCACAGTTGCAGCAGTCTGCGAGTCAACTTTGTGTTAATTGAATTAAAATCATATTAATTAAAAAGTCATATTATAAAATTGTTTTTTAATTAATGACTTTGTAATTTTAAAATAACAAATATGCTTTAAATTAAACTTTTATTAGGGGTATAGGTATAGTCGTTTGACGTCAAGATTACTTATGTAATAACAAAAATTCCTATGGACTGTGAGAACGAAGTAATTGGGTCACTGGAGATGCGCCAACAAACCTGATTTTTTCGGTATGCAACGATTGCACCGTACATTGTATATAAAACACTTACATATATTACGAATTATAATTAAGTACCTAAGTAATTGTTGATCTATATTTTAAGTAGCTAACTACAAATTTGGTCAACAAAGATTCGTTGGACTTGCAAGACGAAATTAAAACAACCGTTCTTTTAGCTGGTCATTCATGGATAAATTCATTTTTTTAAATATACTTAATAGTTACAAACAGATGAACACATACCTACACTGGATTGTAAACATGGTAAGTCAATTTCTTGCATAATACCAACATTCAACAAGTTTTCGTGTGAGCTGTTTAAAAAAATCGGAATAAAATAAGTTAAATTACTTAATTCGAATGTAATTTTCCTCAAAACGCAATTTGACCTACATACTTTAAGATTAGGCCGATAATAAAATTAAATCTAGCGAGGTAGACTTATGAAATGAAATATTTTCAAACTACCTACTTAACAATCAAGAATTAGGGATTTTGTTAGAGTTCCTTAGCCAAAAAGAAAAACACCAAATTCCATATTTTTTTTATGTTAGTCGGGTTTTATTTTTTAGCTATCAACAATGATATAGTTAAATTAAAAAGTTTCTAATGGCACTCGGAACATGTAATTTTGGAATAAAAAGAAAGCATTTTTTAAACTTTTTGTTTTATCGTATCGCTCTTGTCAGTGCGGTCGCGATCGTCACGCAGTATTATTGCTGTGAGCAAGTGTCATGCGCCTTACGAGCAATCGCCATTTCTCCCGGCTTATGGTGAGCCTGGTACACTCATGCAAAAAACCGCCAACTGCCGACTTGACTTGACTGGTTCATCACATGGGTAACCTTTCACGTAGTCTGGTGCCTTCTACTTTGACCTGAACGATAAGGCGCTCTATGGAGTCATTTCCTCGCCTGGAGATATGTCCAAAAAATAATAATATGCGCCCATGCCCAAGCGCCGAAAGCCGTTGCTTAATGCTGAGTTCTTGAAGAATGGAGATATTGGTGCGAAGTTCGGTCCGTGAAATACCAAGCATTTTTTAAATAAATTTAAATTTTTAAATTTTCTAAATTACCTGGCCTAAACAGAATTCGTGGTGACTCAAAAGATGGGACGCCATGTGCTAATACTACTACCGAGGAGCGATGTGGCTATACCATATCTCGAAGAACATTTATCAATTTTTAGAAGAGAATTAGTTCTTTAATTATGTAATTCACCACGTGAAAACTTTGAAAGTAGTTTTGTCTTCTTCAAAAATCAGGAAAACACTCCTAAAGTAAAAGAATGAATCCGTAAGTGGTTCTCAATAATGTAATCGCAAATTACCACTTAACTATTTAAGTGGTCATTTGCAATATTTGTATATCAATTTGTATATCAATCAGAACCCGGCATAGGCCGGTAGTTATGATATGTTAGACTGTATTGAGAATCAATTAATTAATTATTGCTTACTCGAAGTTGTTTATGAATAGGTAGACCTCGGCCAGTCTGCTGAGTTAAAAATAGCTGCGAATAAGAAATTAACCCAGGTTGGGCAGCTTGTAATAAATCACGTCCAACCTTCTTGTTTATTTCACAGTGCCTGTCTCTACACCATGATAGCTATGGTTATAGACATGTGTTCAACAATGGAGAGGTGTTCTCAATCTATTCTTAGTTATTTTAGGCATTCCAAGTACCGTTCTCGTCGAACGCGTTGATCAAGACGAAGAGTTAATGTTCAATATCACAATTTCCACAGACAAAAAAAAACCACGGAGTCTCCCAATTGGTGGCATTTCCGATCCGATGGTAGGTTCAGCGAAGCTCTGCTTTTACCAGGGCAGACGTTAGCAAGCTTTCTCAGGCTAAGCTACGTGAACTCACCTATCGATGAAGATGAGGGCCGAATTTCCTAGAGGCTACTGTCTGTACTGTACTGAAAAAAAAGGTCCTGATGTTGAAGAAAACTGTTTTTTTGACAACCCCCATAACCTAATTAAAACCATATTAAAATGGTTTTGCACTCGGTACTTGCCGAACGGCTTTATTCCGCTAGGAAAGGTAGGAAGAACGAAATTAGTATATCATAATCTTTATTTATAGCATTCTTGCAATGCAAACTGCAAAACTTGTGATGAAATCTAACATTAGAAGGAATAATGATCCACCATGTGCACCGTCATCGCTACGACGACTATTCCATATATACCATCACTGAAAGAATATGTTGCGCTTAAGTTAACGCTTGTAGAAATTAAAGAGGTAATTTTATATGGTATTGACATAAGCTCTCAATCACATAGTTTAGGTTCTGGCAATTCCATACAATAATGTAGTTTCTATACCCCTCACCATATAACACTAGTCGAATTTAATATTGTCTATGGATACTGATTACTCAGATATTATTGAACGACTTTAGGACGAGGCAACGTGTAGTTAAAAATAATATAATAATAAATAAATGAATAGTTCAGTAGAAAAAAATATATTTTTATAAGTAATATTGCCTTATTTTTGTCTTTACCAATTATACCAATTTTATTACTCTGTGTATTCGGTTAAAGTCTAACCGATTTTTTTTTGTGGAATTTAAAATAGTTTGAAATGTGAAAATCGCAGCATAAACTCGTTAAATAATAGCGTTTTTAATACAATTGTGTTTCGCGACCCATTTGTTTTCAGTTTCTCAATTTCATTTAGTTTGATTTAGTTTGTAATTATTTTTAACAATCTATCTGTATTTCTCAATTATGCAAGTATGTACTAGGTTCTTCATCTCAATTTTAGATTATTTAAAATTGGTAACACTTGATATTTGCGCAACACAGTACTGGTATAACCTTTTTTTTCTTAATTGTTCGCTGGTAGGTTAATGGGCTTTTCCAGCTACACACTGGCTGGTTAATAAACCCATGGGCTCAATCTGAGAGAATTGTTAACACTGGCCCTAGTAAGTGCAGTGCTTCGCAGAATGTACCACCGGATCTAATCGCGACCCACTGGTAAGATCCGATGAGAAACTCAGTGGATCTGGTATTACGGATGACTTTTTTTTTTTATTGCTTAGATGGGTGGACGAGCTCACAGCCCACCTGATGTTAAGTGGTAACTGGAGCCCATAGACATCCACAACGTAAATGCGCCACCCACCTTGAAATACAAGTTCTAAGGTCTCAAGTATAGTAACTTACTCATTTTACGACTTTTATGGCATGTTAGCTGTCTGAATTTTTCCCCGTTTTTTTTTCTTTCTTATATTTAAAGGAAAGGGTTTGTAAATAATAAAAGAACTTTACAATGAAACGCCACAATTATATTTTGAAAATGTTTTTTTTTATTAACACTTACATTTTTACAGCGCTCCTAGCCAACTGAGTAATACTATAAAATGAATCGGTGTAAAGAATTATTGAACGCGAAACAATGTTGAACTACAGTGTACGACAGACAAACCGCTCACATGTATATCAGATCGTTACGTTAATATCATCAACGACACATTGTCGACAAAGATGAGATTCCCTTTAAACAAGCACAAATTTATGTCACTCTAAAGAAACAAACACCATTTAAATCTATAAACATTTCATATAATTTAGATTTTTATTAATCGCTATAATGTTATATTTTACTTTTGTAACCATTATAATAATGTTATATGTATTCGTTACAAAAAATTGAAATGAATCGCTCCACTTGGTCCTTCTACCCCGTTCCCGCTGTGCCGCCCCGCCTCTGCATCCGCTCTCGCCGCCGCTCCCGCTCGTGACTTGACCTCGCGCGCTCCCGTAGAAGAGCCAAGTGGCGATAAAACAACATGACTATCCATAACTGTATAATTTTAAAAATTTCTAATTACGCATCCCTACTTTTGTTATTTATTATCTTTTAATTAAGAAATAAAATCTTACGTAATTACGATGAGCAGCCTATTTTAATAAATTTGACNATCCGCTCTCGCCGCCGCTCCCGCTCGTGACTTGACCTCGCGCGCTCCCGTAGAAGAGCCAAGTGGCGATAAAACAACATGACTATCCATAACTGTATAATTTTAAAAATTTCTAATTACGCATCCCTACTTTTGTTATTTATTATCTTTTAATTAAGAAATAAAATCTTACGTAATTACGATGAGCAGCCTATTTTAATAAATTTGACGAAATTCGCTAGTAATGAGATTAGTTAATATAAAAGCGTCGCGTCGTGTCGTCTTGCCGGCCGCGAGCCGATCTGTAGTCGCCGGCACTGACAGTGACAGTTGGCAGTGCTGCGTGCCCGCCTCCCGCCCCCAAGCGATCGCGACTGTGTATGCTTTCATTATCTACTTTACGATTCAAAATACGGCATCAAAATTTCAACTACCTACCTAACAGTAAGCGGTAGTACACTAAAACTCAGGCACTCCACACCGACCTCTCACACAACATGCGCCCGTCCGAAAATACAACTGAACTTTATTCACACGAAAAATTCAACTTAAATCTAATACACTTAAATTATAATAATAATTATAGTGGCGTCTTAACTGTTAATATTACAACAAACGTCATTCGTTGCCGAGCGTGGAGCGCGGCGGGGACACGCTTCTGCCCACTCGATGCGCGATCCTACGCCGCCGTAGCAACACTATCGATCGATACTTATTCAATAGACATTACTGTGTACGCGAAAACAATTGTACAGGGATGATGGGATGACGTCGTGAGCCGAGTGGGGCGGCTCGCGCTCCGCCTACGTATCCGGTCGAGTACAGACGGAACTAACACAAGCACTCAAAACTAACACATCAACGTTTTTTCTCGTGACGTTCGAGATTCGAATTATTAAATCATCTTAATATAAAAATAACACGATTTACAACTTTAAATAATAATAATAATAGTATGCGTATAATATATATATATATTTTTTTTTATATCATCACACAGACGTAACAAACTCCACACTCCACAGTGCATATATATACATACATAGTTCGATATAAGGGATAGTGTGACGCGAGAGCGCGCCGCGTCCTCTCGGTCACGTTGCGCAACAGAAGGAACTAGTGACAGACAGACGGCGCTCGGCTGGACCGTGCGGGTCGCGCGCGGACCGATGCGGTGACAAGCGGTGAGAAGCGTACACGACAGCGATTACACATACACCGGGAACGGCACCGCAACCTCTGTCACTCCGATACAACAACACAAAATGAACATTATGTACGCGGTGACTAACTGATGCACGACGGTGGACAGTGATCGGCGCTGTTTAATAATAAGTCTCTTGTTCGAGCCAGCCGCCGGGGTTGCGGCGCAGGTAGAAGCGCCTGATCTCGTCGTAGATGAAGATGGACAGCATGAACGGAATGGCGGGCAGCCACCACACGAACCTGAACAGAAACGTCAACCCAGTCATGACCCACAATAATACCGTTTTTTCGCATTAAAACTGTATAATCTCAAAACTTACTAATTTTACAGGAGAGTGTTTTTAATATTAATCACCTTTACAACATTTCTTTTTTTACCAGTTACACTATCTGTCTTTTAAAGTAAGATAAAATTATGTATTAATTTTGTTAATAGTGGTCAAAACATAGGTAAACTAAAAAAAAACTAAAACTAAACTACGCTCTTTTGACAGTATTTATGAGAAAAATACTGTTTGTGATAACAAACCTTTAGAATCACTGACTTCATCCTTACGAAGACAATGATTCTAAAATTCATAGTTATCCAGCTTTCGAACCGGACCGCTGAATATTCTGGCGGTGACAAGCAGACGCGTTATGTGACGTCGGCGAACTTACTTGAGTGGGTACATCCTCAAGCCCTTGTCCATACCGGGGGTGTACGAGAGGAACGCCGCCAGCGCGGTTTCAAATATGAGACCAAAGTTGAGGGCCCAGTTGCGCATGCCCTGGTGAATGATCGAGTTACGGCGGGTCTTGCAGATAATCAAGTCGGCCCATTGCACAACGACAATAGATACGAAGAATGCGGTGTGGCAAGTAAACTCGAGCGCCTTGCGGTCACGGTAGGTCTGAAAAGACAGTTTATGTTCACATCAATTCTTACTTAAGACCTTGACTGCCATATAAGTCAAGGTACTACCTATGTGGCGCACTGAAGTAATTATGTCGATTTATGTTACTAAGGCGCCGGAATATCTATTAGAAAATACTGACAATAAATCAATTTCTAAGAGACCTAAAAGGCTAAAACATACATTAACAAACAAGGCAAAGAGTTAGGCAATCCAAGCGCCATAGAAACAGAAATCGACATAATTACTTCAGTGCGCCGCGTAGGACACCGGTGACCTGCATGGCAAAGGGTTAATGCTGCAATTCGTTTTTTGGTTTAGTTCTACACGTACCCATTCCTGTCCATAGGAGTCAGTCAAATCGTTGATGGCCTTCGAGTCCCACTGCTTCCTGATACCGAAAAGCTTCATCGGGAGGAATCCGTTTTCAGCCATGATCACGAAGTAGACGAAGAAGCCAGCCGCGGCTTGGATCATTCCGATTTGTCCGTAAGCCATAGAGATCAACCTGTCAACATCCATGCGATGCTATCAGAACGTGTCCTGACGGGATACGCGGCGTAGACCCGAACAGACTGAAAGCGTGATGCCGAAAGTATTGCGTGCAAAAGGAATAGTAAAAGAAAATTTGCACTTAAATAAATACTTTTTGATCTGACAAAAAGGACCCTTTTGTTGTAAAAGCAAGGTAATCGAAGAATTTTGATATTTAAATTTGGAACGATAAAATATTTTTAATTTTTTTTTTAATATTGAAATTTGGAATCAACGCTTTTAGTCTGCGTGGCCATAAAGCTTGTGCAGTTCACTAGTGCTACGTCAATTGAGACGAGAGTTTTCAATTCATCAAACGTTTCGAAGGGTCAATTGGAAATCAGTAGCAAGATTGTCTACTACAAAGCAGTTCAATATGACAAAGTAGAACTAATTATTGAATTTGTTTCATAAATTTTTGGATATTTTTTTTTATATCATCACTCTTAATTCAGTTTTGACAGGTTAAAAGCTTGCAACAAAACGATACATTTTTTTGTGTTCCAGTTTGTCATATCTTTGGAATAATGCCATGAAAACTATTAAGAAAACGTTTTATCATCGTATCTTTACCGAAATTCGTATCTTTTGATTTGAATTTTAAAAAAACAAGTTAATGAAACCGTTCACCGAATTCTCATTTGTGTGATTTCCTGTATTTTGTGCCGATTTATAAATCATCAATTATTATTAATCTTCTGTTACGATTATTACGATTAGTATTTACTCTTCGAAGTAGTTTTCAGACATGAAACAAATAAAGATCGGTTTTCTTATTTAGCGAGCGCATATTTACATGCACAACCTTGCAAATGCAGTAAGTCAAAGCGTAAGATATGAAGAACTTGATGGGTTAAGTAAATAATGAAATAAAGAACAAATTAAATAGTTTTAAATAGCCCTAAAAATGTATAAGTGTGATATGAAAACGCTGCCGCCATTCAGCTTTGTGCTTTCACTACTATGATAAAAAACAAAACGTCATAATATTTCAGCTATTCAATAAACATACGAAAATAATATCACAACTGCGGCTTCATATTGTCTACGTCATTCCTTGAAGATAAAATAAAACTGAAAATTTTCGATTAAAAATTACTATTTTTTTTTTCTTTTATTTTTTTTTTAAATCTCTATGCACTACGATGATTAACACGATAATTGAAACACAATTAAATCATTAGTGCGCTCTCTATGACAGTTTAAAACAGTCCGCTAATATCTTTCACTAAACGTGCACTGTTCGCAACACAGCGTTGACTCGCTAAGTCTTTTTATAAATAAATTAATCATTAATTTCAAACATGGAAGAGTGAAGATTGTACAGAAAAGATTAAAGAGTCTAATTTCTATAAAACTATTATTCGCTAGTTATAATATTTATAGCAGAAAAAAAAAACTTTATAAAAATATTCAAAGTGATGAAGATACGGAAACTAGGCGTATGTATAATAATATAGTTTGTATTTACATTGTGTTAGTTGTATCTGTACAGAATATTGAACTATAACTGATTGAAATAAAGGTTATTTTCATTAGGCGGAAACAAAATCAAGATAGGGGGGGTGGTTTTATAAGTAAACATAATCACTCTTCCACATCCATTATCAAATGGGTACTGTTGAACCACAAGTAGCCGCACCATTCTAATTTACTTGTCACACCATTCGTATTTATATGAATGTTTATACGAGATAGTGGGCTAATCATTGTGTTAACACCCATTTGAGCGACTAGTAAGCGGGCCACACGCTGGTGCGGCGGCCAACCTTCTGTTGACGAGGTTGTCGCGGTAAGGGTCCCGCGGCTGCCGCTTCATGATATCAGACTCGGGCGCCTCGTACGCCAATGATATAGCAGGCACCTTCGGTAACACCAAGCATTAAGGACAAACCATAAATCGCTGACGACCGGGGCGAGTGCCCGTGTCGTTTCGTCCCTTATAAACATAACGTTTCACTGTTAAAACTCCTACAACACTTATAGCTGATTGTTCCAAATTTAATTTCAACAACCTATAAAGATACTTATCACATAAATATTTCTAGAAAATAATAATAATCACGATTAGCGTTAAAACCTATAAATTGTATTTATACATTGTTTGAAATATTTCGTCTACCTAAACTATTGCTAATATAATTAAACAAGCCTATACAGCGTTGCATCGTAATGAACGAAGTTGCTTAAAGAAAAAGTCGCACATTGTTAACGACTCCTAAACTATTATATATGTATAATAAATATTCGTATAATGGCAGACCTACAAGTCGTGTTATGAGAAATGTGATGTTATGAAGCCTAGAGCGTTTTGTGAATAATATAAATGACGAATATGCTCATCATAAAAGAAAGTGTGTCATGGTGTGCATGGAGATTATGAGAGGTAATAAAATATAATAAGTCAAAATACTCATAATATAAGTCAAAATATATAATTGAATTAATAAATAACATATATTTAATAAATAAAAAATATTAACACATGCACGACACTTAAAACGACAGAGACAGTAAGACACCGAATACTTACCCTAGCACAACCACAGACACATACCACAGAGAAAATACCAAAACCAACAAACAGATGAAACGATGCCTTTTTTCGCAAAGGGTAGTTCGAGAAAAGCATTGTTCCATGGCAACACCAAGCTACAAATACGGAAGAAGATTGTTTAGTTAGAAAAAAAAAATGTTAAGGCAGAAAGTTAGGAGCGGTGCGATCGTCGCCTTCAATATCCACACACGGAGTCAACGAGTGGTGTACATACGGGACACCATTCACACACAACAGGCAACAGACCAAAGCTCAATATTGAAGACAATCAGAGTGGTTAGCAAGCAATAATATAATATGAACGAGTCGTGGAGCACTCGTCGTGTTTTTACCTCTCGTTAACGAGTTTATCAGTGAAAGGGTTACGCGGCTGTCGCTTCATTATGTCGGATTCAGCATCCTCGTAAGCCAGGGAAATGGCGGGCACCTACACAGACTAGCGATGTGAGCGCACGCGGCCGCGCCCGGAGCTCTCGCTCCAACCAAAGCGTGGTGCATTATTGTCACGTGTGTTACAAATACAACATCGAACGTAAGAACACAAACAAGAAGTATACAATCAGACGCCACCGAGCTACCGCGACCTTAAAAAAAACCGTTGTCTGTAAAGTCGGTTTACTGACGATAGTTGAACGTGACAACGTCATAAGAAAATACTGATGGAATGGTTTCATTTTTCAATTATCGCAATTATCGTTGCTATAAACAATTGACACCACATTGACTTTTCACTGAACTTCATACTTGACGAAAACATGTAAATGTATTATTGTATAGCAGCTGTCCACGCGGATGCATCGCTCACTCAAGTAGGAGAGAGACAGATGTCGAACGCTGCCGAACGCGGAGGCCGATTGTGCCTCTTTGTCGCTCGTTGTGCGCTCTCGCTTGCACTTCAAGCCTTAAATGGAACGCCTCAGAGCGAGGTAACGCCAGTTATGAGTCATGTTTTTTCGTGCGTGCAGCCGGCTCCATCGAATTATAAGACGCTGTCACGTCAAAACCAATATCCAGCTTTGCATCACGGGTAGCACAGTAGCGTATGCTTGCATCCACTTGACGCTTAAAACTATTACCAAACAAAACTAAAATTAAAAACAAACATAATCGAAGACAATGAGATGATCTCGTTAGTGGCCCGCTCTCGGATTCGGAATCACAATGAACGGGAAATCGATTCTTAAATCGCGAAGATAATAATAATTTTGAAACTAAACCAAACGATGATGATGATGCGTGACGTGGTACTGAATGTGATTTTATAATCGTTGTGTTGTGTCTGTCGTAACTAGAAGAACTATTCGCGTTTCGGTAAACCGCTACCAAGCGCCTCTGTCGGCTTGTCGATTTCAACGAAATCAATAAACATTATAACAAACAAAACACATTCATCCTATAGATTCCTTGTTAGACGATCGGGCCAAAAAATATATCAGTTCATTAGTGACACAGTACAGAAATAAAAAAACCTCTTGGTTAGTTTTAAAACATGTTAGAATAATGCACGACTGATTCTATTTTTTCTGACAACAACGTGAGCACCGAGGCATTTTAATATTCAAACTGAAATGTACGTTAAGATAAAACTAAAATATGATACAAACACGGACAAACATCGAATATATTACGATATATATATAGAAACAACAACGGCGTTATTAGCTGACGACCAGTTAATTTTTATGGCAACACATCTCATTTAATACAATATAAAGACCTCTCATTGACAAGTTTGTCGCAAAACGGGTTCCTAGGTGGGCGTTTCATAATGTCTGCCTCAGCCGCTTCGTATGCAAGAGCAATCGCCGGTACCTATTGTCAGTTACTGATTTAAGTATATAATAGAATAAAAATAATTCGTAATTAACGCTGCAACTTAAGGAAAATAGCCCACTGAGTTTCTCGCCGGATCTTCTCAGTGGGTCGCGTTTCCGATCCGGTGGTAGATTCTATGATTATCTTGCTGGGGTCAGTGTTAGCAACACTCCGGTTTGAGCCCCGTGAGCTCACCTACACACGTTAGGGCGAAGGTGAAATAGCCTCTCAAGGTTATCAGCATAGGCAGGAAAATTTTTTTTTGTCTGTCTGCATACATAGTCGTTTTCCTTTCGATATTAATGTTACCTAATTTAATGCGGTCTTAATAAGTAAGTACTCCATGTACGAACCCGATTCGTGTTACTATAAGCTGTCAAGTTGACATTAAAACATTACTTCGATACAGGTTTTTCACTTGGGCTTCATCTCGTCAACTAATATAATTGACATTAAAAAACATTTAAAATAAAAATCCATTCACTTTACAAGAACGCTGTTCGTTTTTAGTCAATTTTATTATCTTTATAAAACTGGCACATGTTATTCTTGCTATTTATTCAAAACTAGCTGACCCGGCAGACTTCGTAGTGCCTCAATCGATAAATAAAAGACCTAAGCTTTTGTATAAAATAAACTTAAAACAAAGAAAAGGAATCCGTCCGACCGAAGACACATCAAAGGAAAAACAAAATTGTTATTTTTATTTAATTCCGAGTATTTTCATATTTATCTACCTTTTAAACCTTCTCTGGACTTCCACAAATAATTCAAGACCAAAATTAACCAAATCGGTCCGGCCGTTCTCGAATTTTAGCGAGACTAACGAACAGCAATTCATTTTTATATATATATATATAGATAGATACGTAAACGAACCTAGCGTGGTCGCAAATCAATGTGATTAATAATTTAAGGAATCGCACTTATGCTCCGAACTTACCATGTCCGTTCCCAGATCGATGCAGAGGATGGTTACTGTACCCAGGGGCAGAGGAATGTCGCAAAGGATGAAGGCAAGGAAGGGGGAGATTTCTGGAATGTTCGAAGTTAGGGTGTAGGCGATTGACTTCTTCAAGTTGTCAAAGATCAGTCGGCCTTCTTCGACACCGGTCACGATGGACGCGAAGTTGTCGTCGAGTAGAATCATGTCAGCCGCCTACAATTTATATAAGCATCTTACACGTGCTGCTGTTACAAAGCAGGTCCAGCTATTACTTGTTCCAGGAGAACAGAAAAGCAAACAATGAGCTTGTCCACAATGAGAATACCCCAACTGGGGTATTCATTTTTTTACCTACTGTTACTGGTGGTAGGAAGTCTTGTGAGTCCGCACGTGTAGGTACCACCACCCCGCCTATTTCTGCCGTGAAGCAGTAATGCGTTTCCTTAGAACTTATATCTCAAGGTGGGTGCCGCATTTACGTTTTAGATGTGTGTGAGCTACAGTAACCAATTAACACCAGGTGGGTTGTGAGCGCGTCCAGCCATCTAAGCAATATAAAAAAATACTGCAGTTTCATTTGATTTGGTTGAATTCGTCTGAAAAGTGTCCTACCTGCTTGGAAACGTCGGAGCCGGCGATACCCATAGCGACACCGATGTCGGCCTTCTTGAGGGCGGGAGAGTCGTTGACGCCGTCGCCGGTCACAGCCACGATGGCGCCGAGACGCTGGCAACCCTCAACGATGATCAGCTTCTGTTGCGGGGAGGTGCGGGCGAACACGATTTCGGTGTGGAACCTGATCGAAAATTTAATTTAAAACCACTTTATCCAGGCCCTTGTTTATTTGAGTTTCACGAGAGCGCAAACATACTTGAGGATCTCATCGAGCTGGTCGGAGTTCAGTTCGCGGAGCTCGGTTCCGTGGACGACAGCAGCTTTGGCTTCGCGGGGATTCACCTCGGAAACGGGGATATTCAAACGCGCAGCAATGTCCTCTACGGTCTCGTTACCTTCAGAAATTATACCTACAGATTTGGCAATAGCCTTGGCAGTGATGGGGTGGTCTCCGGTTACCATGATAACCTGAAAATTTATTAATTGAGTAAATAACAGTCCAAGAAGTACACCGGTACTGCACATTGAATTTTGTAATATTACCTTGATACCGGCGGAGCGGCACTTGGCCACGGCATCTGGTACAGCAGCGCGGGGAGGATCAATCATGCTCATCAGACCAACAAAGCGCAAGTTGTCCAAGGGGAAGTTGGGGTCGTCAGTGTTGAACTTGTAGCCGATGGGGTACTTGTCGGAGGGCAGCTGAAGGTCGCAGAAGCCGAGCACACGCTCGCCAAGACCGCCGAGTTCAAGGTAAGCGTTGTTGAACGCCTCCTTCATTTCCTCGTCTAATACCTTTTCCTTTCCGCCAATGAAGATAGTGCTACAACGTTCCAGGATTCTTTCGGGTGCTCCCTTCATCACCAGCAGGTGGCGGGGGTCGCTGGGGTCGTCGCTCTCGTGGATGGATACCTGGTACTTGTTAGTAGAGTTGAAGGGAATTTCGCAGACTTTCTTGTTGCGCTTCCTGATCGACAAGACATCACCGAGAGCCAGCTCCATGCATTTCAGTAAAGCGGCTTCAGAGGCGTCACCGGCGACTTCCTTCTTCAGAATCGGAACACCGTCCTGACCACCCTTGAACTCAGCTCGGTTGCACAGGGAAGCAATTTTGGCAAGAGCCTTAAAGCCAGGGCTAGTGCGGTCTACAAATAAAAAAATATATATATGAACAAACCTGTATATGCACAATATTGTCTGAAATAAAACACGAAAGACCATCTTACCGTACTGTACGCCGGATTGATCTTCAGTTGTATCAGCTTCAATGATCTGGTTGTCGAACCACATGTGAGCAACAGTCATTCTGTTCTGAGTGAGGGTTCCGGTTTTGTCGGAGCAAATCGTGGAAGTGGAACCCAGAGTTTCGACGGCTTCGAGATTCTTGACCAGGCAGTTCTTGGAAGCCATTCGTTTGGCAGTGAGAGTCAAGCACACAGTCACGGTGGCCAAGAGTCCTTCAGGCACGTTAGCTACGATGATACCTGTGCATAATAAATATTGTTACAAAGTTTCAATCACATAAATACATGCTGATACATGATCGAATAATCGTCATAATAATACCGATGAGGAAGATGACAGCGTCGAGCCAGTGGTATCCGAGAATGAAAGCAATAACGAAGAAAGTCACTCCGAGGAAGACAGCCACGCCGGTGATAAGATGAATAAAGTGATGGATCTCCTTAGCGATCGGAGTTTCACCAGTGTCCAGACCAGAAGCGAGACCAGCAATGCGGCCCATCACCTACAAAAAGTATTACAGTGCAGTATTCACGGGAGGAACGTCAAACAGATTTTTAAAGTTCTGAATTCCTTACAGTATTGTCTCCACAGCAGATGACAATTCCTTTAGCGGTACCCTCAACGGCGTTGGTCGAGAAGAAGGCCAAGTTCTTGGTCTCGAGTGGGTTCTCATTTGTGAATTCGGCTCCTCGGGATTGGGGTTCAGATTCGCCGGTCAAGCTAGAGTTGTCGACTTTAAAGCCTCGCGCTTCGATAATACGTATGTCGGCGGGAATCCGGTCACCGAATTTAACCTAAGGACCATTGAAAATTATATGTTCAATAATATGTGATAATTACATAGTTTCGATTTATTATTTACTTCGAGTATTATATACCTCGACAATATCACCAAGCACCAGGTCCTCGGCTCGGAGCGTAAGTTTCTCTCCTTCACGGATGACGGTGGCGAATTGGGGGACCATGTTCTTGAAGGACTCCATGATTTTAGACGACTTGCTCTCTTGGTAGTACGAGAAGATACCAGTAACGATCACGACGGCCGCGAGCACGATGCCCAGGTACAGATTGTCATCAGCGGGCTCCTCTACGGTACTAGCCTACGGGACAATTGGATCGATAACATATATTTCGGTGTTCTGGAAAACTTAAATCATTGTATGCAGAACCATTGACTTACCTGAATACCGTAGGCGATAAAGCATAGAATAGCACCAATCCAGAGTAACAATGCAAAGCCGCCGAATAGATTTTTACAAAACTTCACCCATTCGGGTGTTTGTTTAGGTGGTGTAAGAGCATTGGGGCCGTCTCTTTCTAAGTTCTCTTTCGCTTTTGCGTGACTAAGGCCCTGAAATAAGGAACGTCAGAAAATTTCAATTTATTCATGAAAGCTGCATTACTATGTTTATTTTATTATTAGATGCCTCCCGTTAAGTGGATAGCGGAGCAGAAAGACATCACCAGTGTAAATGCCGCCATTAACCTTGAGACATGAGTTCTAAGTCTCAGTTTTATAGGATAACAGTTGCTCCACTCTTCAAGCCGAAACGCAATATTGCTTCAGGGCAGAACTAGGCACGGTGGTGGTGCCTGCCCTTGCGACCTCACAACACGTCCTACCACCAGTATACTTTATGATTTTATAAATCAGTTTAACTTACATTTTCCGGGTGCGTTTGAAATCTTTGGTAGAGTTCCTCAGGAGTGACTTTATGGTAATCAATATCCAGCTCCTGTTTGAGATCTTCTAAATCTCCTGGTTTCCGTTTTTTCGCGGGAGGTTTTCTGCGTGTCTAAAATACACAAATAACTTTTATTAGGAAAAATCATTTTAAAGTGTTTCCTCCGTTTATCTTCGTTTGCGAACTACCGCCTTACGCAATCTAAAAACATGCATGCAATAAATGAATGTTTGATAGATGTAGCAAAATGCTGTCTGTATATGGAGAGAATACGAAAATGTATGGTGATAATTTGTATAAAAACCTTGAACTGTCCGTCAGCTGTTCTATTATCATCCTCGATCGGGCCGATGGTGGCGACGCGGTACGAGTCGGTGCGTCCATGCTGCAAACATAACTAGGGGCTAGATACATTCTACAAGGCGGCCGTAAGGGCCATGCAGTCATGAATAATGTGGCGATGGATGGACACGAGCTACGATGTCGCTTGTCATCTTAAAATGAATTCATTGAAAATAAGAGAGAGATTCTAGTATCATGCGAAATCGAAGCTCGACATAAAACAGCGGCAAGGAAACTGGCATATTAGTGGAAATTACAAATGATTCGAGAATGCGAATGTTTTAAAGTCGTACATAATTTCCATACTAAAATTACTATAAAATATGAGATGTTTGATCGAGGCAATGCATTCAATCTAATGCACTCTACATAAATTCTCGATAGTCGAATGAAACTGTAGTGAATTAATAAAGCATTTTACTATGCAACATCAATAGTGAAACCATTGAATGTGAGTTTCATTCTAGATTATAACCTCGCCTAACGTGTACACTAGATGACAGGGTTCTATTCAACGGAGCTAAATTGGTTTGAACTAGTTACGCCTGCGAACCTGAGAGTTATTGTAAGGACACAGCACACTGCCACGCATCATTGATATACACATACAAGCAATTGCAATTTATACATTGACCAGCGCAAAACTATTTTCTAATTTATATATACATACATATTGACCAATGATTCTTTAAATCATTGCAATTTGCGGTTAGCGGTATGGAAATTTACCATTTCGTTTTAATGTAACAAAGGCCGGCAGAAGGTAAACGTATGCAGAATTTGCATGAGGGGAATATATCGTCGCAGAGTTCTAAAAGCGTTCACAGTAAACAAGGCAGCCGTCGCCGTCGATAATTGATGAACGTTTTCATAGCAAGCATCATTAAACCGCGCCCTGAATACTCGTGAAGGTTAGTGCGGGTAGGTACACATATATTCAGTTGAAAACAGGTAAACGCTGAAATTATACCCTGCTCAAACTTAACTATTGAAAAGCGTCTCGATATTGAAAAAAATGGTTATAAATAATTTGCAATATTATCAAACTGACAACAGTTATTCTCAAAAATGAATCCGGAAGTTACGATTCATATCGAATAGTAGGCATGCGGTAATTGTGGATGGCAGCATTGTTGCCCCATTACATAAGAGGCGCGCGCAGCGGGCATGCGCAATGAGGACCGACCCCCTCGCTACCCTCGACATAAATAGCTAAAATACAAGGTTGCCACCCCCGGGCCAAACCTCATTTATAAACTCTAAAAAGGTTAAAACCGGAATATCCGATAGAAAATCGAAACCAGTTTAAGAGGGAATAAAACGCCACAGTCGCGAAGGGGAACGAGCAATTGGGCCATAAAATTCAAGGTTACGGTAACTTTTCCATGGGGTGCCTGAATTTTAATAGGCTCATTCGCGCTACGTGTCAAAAGGACACGTCAAACTTACTACATATATTCGTAAATGAGCTTAGATTAAATTTGATTTCAATAGATTTACTATACAGTTCGAATAGTACTGCAACGTGATTCATTGTTCGTAACAATAATATCTGCGCATAATATCTGCTTAGAACCTGAAATTAGTGGTTACTATCAGCAGACTGTGAATAAGACAATTATTTCTGTAGTATTGCCACGACACGTGCCGCTCTCAGACAACACGCGGTTAATTGGCACCGGCAAAACACTATTATTAACCACACACAACATTTACACTTGTAATTTCGATCATTCAAAAATACAGCATAATTTGTTCGTGGCGTTAACATGTTACATTTCAAAGATATTTATCAAACGTAAATGTTGGCGCAAATCTTTCAGCAATGCGCATTATCGATGTTATTGGAGTACGTCACTACTAACGTTTTATTTAAAATGCTTTTGGTGAGAATCTTGCGAGTTTTCATTCGAGAAACGTTCGTGTTTTTGTAAGTCTGAATTATTGATAACAATTTAATACAGTTTAATAATTTGTTTTACAGTTTACTATTTAACTTTGGTTAATTAATTGGCACTGAACATTGATCATTGACTTTGCCAATATTGTGAGTTATCTCAAGACCGAAAAGTTAGACGTAGTTTTTGGAAATTTACTAAGACCGCATCAAAAATTCTGCTCCAAATTCAAAAGGTGGTTTTCACGTGTATTCTTAGAAAAAATTGAATTCTCATCATCAAGATGTAGTAGTCTCATAATTGATCCGTGCTGTCGTCAGAAAGGATAAAGGAAATACACCAATAGAACGACGTTACTCTATGCGATTTAAATGACATAATGACAAGGCAATTTTCTAATAAACCTTCGGTGCTCTTATAGTCACTCCAAAGCACGGCCGAGCTCCCGTGATGACCCGACAGTCACTTCCTTCAGAACACCTAGAGGCCTTTTCACCTTTAAATATTATGTCACTAAAATAATGACTTCAAAAATAATTTGAAGGTAAAGTATACTCCGTATTTTTAGTTATATGTATGTGATAACGCTTGAGTTTTTATTTTAGTTATTTCAGCCTCTTTAACTAAAACATCTTTGTGATATGTATTTAAATTGAAGGGTTGTTTTGCGTTACGCTCAAATAAATTTATACTAAACTAAACGAGTCCAAGATAAAGTAATCTCATCATTTTTAAGAAATAAAAAATATATATACAAATAACTCCAATTGAGAATTTATCCGGAATCTTAAAATTTGGAATCTAAAAATGAAATTTAATTAGACAGTAGTCAGACTCGCCATTTTGAATTAAAATCCCTGCAGCCATATCTAGGAAGTGGTAACATTGTATGAAGCAATGTGAGACTACCGTGTCCTGCTCTTCGCATGGATCGATACCGAGGAGTTACGCAACCCCGCTGGCGCCGACTCACGATCGCTTCCTCTGTAGCTTTTTAGAAAATTCTATACATCCTTTGTATGTGAACGATGGTCTAATGCAGCCTTTTTATAATATAATGAAATGTGATGTAAATTTACGCAGTTTCAATTGACATTACGGAAGTCAGAACTCTATTTGCTATTTAAATAGCAAGTGAAATCGCCAACAAAGATGAAGTTCAGTCTATTCACATGCTTTAACGAAAATTTCTTACATAGCAGAGAACAAAGGCAGACTGTGCAAATGAAAAGTTTCAAAGGAGAAATAATTGTGAAGGTAATTCAGGAAATGCGAAAATTTCACTCACGCGGAAGGGATTTTAAGGGGCGAACAGATAAAGCACTAGCTTCTTCTGTACTTACAGTTTGCCACATGCACTTCACCTTCACGAAAGCACTGGCTTCGTAGAGACGGGTTGGCTATAGTAAAACTAAAAGAAGCACTACTTGAAGCACCTCACTCACCTCGCCCATTTTCGTAAGTCTCTATGTACAGGCGGATAAAAGGAACAAGCCGCCTCTCGGTCTCGTCTGTATCCCTCAACGGTGCAGGGTGGGACTGCTCTAGTTCTGCAACAACCGGACCTTTACGGCTCCCCCGCCCGAATGGAAAACTTAAAATGTGTGCGTTTCAAGTTGACTGATCGCACCGCACTGGGACTATGTCATCTTGGTGCTAAACTAAAACCCGGTATAAGAAGAGAGTGCGCGGATGGCGAAGGCGCGACTTTCGACGGCCTGCTTCGGGCGGCGACTGACGGTGGGGTCCGCGCGTATCGAGCCAACAGCGCACTGACGTCATACTGCGTCACGACGCCAGCGCCGCCACTGCTGGCGTCGCGCGCAACCCGCTGCGCACGGTTCCCGAGCCACCACCGCCGCGCCCTCCCCGCTCGTAAACTTCCACAACCGGTACGTTGACAGCCCCTTTCGAATCGACTGTCCTCCCGTTGATGCATGCTCATTTTACAAGAACGACAATATGGTGGCCAACGCCAATTTATGAAATATATCGTAATTTACAAACCCCGTAGATTAATGAAATAATAAGCTTTATAATTTGTTAGATGACTAGAATTAAAAGATTCTTTATGAAGATATTCTTTAAGATGACCAGACGGTTTTGCGACACAAATATATTGGAATCTATTTTATTGCGGTAGAGAAAACGGAAGTAATTTAAAGACATTTTTAGACGTTCTAAAGAAAGAGCGTTTCAATACACTTAAAACCTTTAATGGCGAAGCTTAAAGATATAACGTACAGAATACTTCAACCGCTATTGTATTATAACTATAAAGTACCTACTGCTTGAAACATAAAATAGCCATTAAATTGTTTATCCTCAGAAGGAAATGCCCCTTAGCGACGAGTAAAATGCCCTTGAAACACATTTTCCGCCCATGAGTCGTTGGTTACGCTGACTTCAAAGAAAACCCGAAATATAAAATATTTGTAGCGATAACGGTCAGCTATATTTAAATAGCTGATCGATAGTAAACTGCTGTCTTCTTCTTCGTAGATATTTACTTTGGTACGTGAATCGCGGCGTCTACTTCGAAACGTATTGAAGTTACTATTACATTTGATAAATTATTATCCAGCCATAACATTAGATTGTTTCGTGGTAGGCAGGAAGAATGGCGGTAGGAGTACGGGCGTACCCGATCAGCGGTACTCAAGACCGGAACAAGGGGAGATATTCACGATGAGTAAATATCTACAATAGTACATTATACTTTTATACATAAAAAAATGTGTAGTTTTTAACAATTGACTGATGGATTGCAATTAAACAGAATAATAACATATCATGTAGTATTTTGCCGAGGCTTGGGAGAAGCCTGTGTCCAGCTGTGGACGTCTGTGGGCTGATACATAGATGTAGTTTGTCATGGTTTTTCGCGAGTTACATAATTCAAACTACCTTTTTTATTGACGTATAGGCAGGCGAGCATATGGCCCACCTGATGGTGAGTGGTTAAGAACTATCCACAAGCCTCGTTTGACGAAGGACATATCATAGCGCTCGGGAAACACCGTGGAGGGGAGCTCATTTCAAAGCCGGATGGTACGTGGCAAAAAAGATCTCTGGAAACGTATTGTGGATGAACGCAGTGGCTCTAGGTAATATGGATGAATTCTACTCCGATTGCGGGCGGTGCGATTGTAAAAACGAGGTGATGGTATCATCTCAAACAATTAATTGCTCAGAGCACTTGCCTTAACGGCGTAATCTCTTTTTTGTTATTAGAATATTTTTCTATGTTACGTTTTCTTAGCAAATTCAAGTAAGCAATTCACATAAAATTGTTAGACCTCAAAACAGTCTTAGTTCTTTATGTATCAAGAAACGCACGTCAGTAAATAATTTTAAAATTAAAACGGTAGGTGAAATATTCACTGTCGACGAACTTGGATATAACAAACGCAAGATTAAGCTGTAAAAGTATTTAATTAAAATTCAATGTGGCACGACCTATCATTGCAATAATTAGCATGTAGGAATGCAAGGAAAGCATGTTCACATCTCGTCGCAGGTCACCAGTTTGTAGGAAAATACGACAAAGGGAAGATCTTCCACCGAGCGGGTGATATTGCTCGGTAGACCGACGGTCCGAATGTTGTTCGGAACTTGTATATATGCGCTTTATCTTGAAAATGTCGTAAGCGAGATTCAGGCATCTGTCAATTATCTTGCGTTGTATGATGGCTACCCACCACAGCACATATTACATAAATACGCAACTACTATTTTATTTTTTCGTAACCAATTACTATATTGAAATTTCAAAGATTTTCCCTATAGAACCTTCTGGTAAGTTCCACGCTCAAAACGTAGTACTTAAATAGAGTTCAACAGTTATCTGCTATTTCGTAGCGCTAAGTGGCTACGGTGGCGAACACGTTTCCGGGCGCTACGAGCCCCACCTGTCAGATATTAATTTCCGGTACTTGACGTTTGCCGCTGTTTAATTGCACGTCGGCAAATACCGTTCACATTATTCGCTCTCCGGATTGATCTCAGAAGTTTCCACGTAGTTACGAAACGTTCGCTTTCATGTTTTTATGGATAGTAAAAAAAAAAAGTTATATTTTAAAACGTCCGTGAACATATCGGGCGTTTATCTTTCAATTACATTGTGCAGGAGTCCGTTCACATTGGGAATATACTCGTACACTTTGTTAGTGCGGTGCGATGTACGTATGTAGTCGGATAGTCTTGGAACTGTGTTTTATTCGCAATCTCCACGTTATCTCGACGGCATAATAAAAAACAAAGTTGCACTTTTCAATTTGAGGGCGGGCCGCGAGCTCCGTTGCTTATTTTTCGTTTTACTGGAGCTTCCGGGCTGGAGCCTTTAAACAATACGCTTTTCCACTCATTGTTCATAATAATAGCTATTCATTCAGACAATAGCCATTACCAACCTAATATAATCATTATTTATAATGTTTAACGTGCGTGAACATGTTTCATGTTCTTGCACAGCATTCATTACATTATATTACAAAATATTTAGAGTCTCGCGCAGGAAAATTAAAACCCGGGTAATAATAAATGAAAACCGATTCAAAATAATAACATATTTTTTTGGTATATTAGATAAAGCCACAGAAAAGCGTGGCAAGGTTAAGCTAAAATTTAAGATACAGGCATCCCATATTTTAAATGAAGCTCGTTCATTGTGGATATTCGCGATGTATTATGTAAAGGTATTATATTATTAGCATGAGCGATGGGGCAGCGGGCATCTCCATTCCTTCGCCTCGAGGACTCGCTGATATGAAAATTCGTCGTGGAGCGGTCGGCGGGCGGGGTGTCGGCGAAGGGGTGTTCGGTTTAAGGGTGGAGGGTGCGCGGAGGCTCTATTTGGGTCACCCCGGGCGTCATCCCCTCGATCAATAGCAGGGACGGCGCGCGCCGTCTGCCTTCTCGCTCTTCCCTGGTTACCTAACGCTTCTCGCACACTGGCCCACCGCTATTAATTATTTTACATACCTGATAAAACCATTAACACCTTCAATGTTTGTAATTTATTTATAGATAATCTCTGTAAGATCAAGTAAGGGGTTAATCTATAGGCAGGATCAAAGTAGAGACACTGATAGTTTCCGTCTACTACGCCACATGTTCACGTAGCTTACGTAACGCGTGGTAATGGATAAAATCAATCAAACTAGGTACACATTTATATAGAGACACGACTATTAATCTGAACACTAACATTTCTAACCAATCTTATTAAGATTATTTAATTTAAACATGCGCGATCAGTTTCTAGAGTATATCATGCTAAGTATGTAAAGTACATATCGTATTTTTTTTTAAATATTTTAAATGATGAGAAGAATGTAATTATTTCGAATCATATATCGAATACAGCGGGAATCCCCGCAGAGATATGAGTGGAAATAAAAAAGTGATACAACTAGAATTTACTTAATTTTGGGATACTGCGTTCCGTGACAGCGACGTATATTACATGAGTTTATGGGTTTTTTTTCTTCTATAATCATATTACTTCTAGTTCTAATAAAATACGTAAGAAAATACAAAGTTGGCAGTATTAAGATAAACTCCGCACGAAGGCCGATTCTGGATATGAGCGTACCAAATACATCTCATTCAACTAACTTTCTATATTGAGATCTGCCCGATGTAGAACTTTAAGTCTCTAATTGAATATATCTTTGGCGGTAGCCATCACAGAACACAAAATATTTAACAGATGCCTGAATCTCGCTTACGACATTTTCAAGATAAGTTTGCATATATACAAGTTCCGAACAACAACATTTGGCCACTTCGATAAAGCGGCACGACACGAGAATCCTCTCATCGTGGCCGCCGGTAACTACATTCCCGATCCTGCGGAAAAAATGGAAAGCAGTCGGCGTCGCCCAAAACACGTCATTTCGGATCCTCCCGATCCACTAACGGGGCTTCTAGGTACTTGAAGCAACGGTCACCGTTCTCGTTGAACCCGTCGCTTGCGAAGAAGGGCTCGACGAGCAAATTAGCCCTCAGACACAGCCCACTGAGTTTCTCGCCGGATCTTCTCAGTGGGTCCGATCCGGTGGTAGATTCTGCGAAGCACGGCTCTTGCTAGGGTTCGTGTTAGCAACGTCGTCAGGTTTGAGCCCCGTGAGCTCACCTACTAGTTAAGGTTACGCTGGAATAGCTTCTCAAGGCTACCGAGCGTCGGTCTACCGAGCAATATCACCCGCTCGGTAGAAGATATTCCCTCTGTCGTTATATATACCCACCCCCAAACATCTTTTGTCCTTTTTTTAACAAAATCAACGCGTGTTGTAGTCCAAGTTCTATATCAGAACCGAAAATCGAACACACCGAGTTCATAAATCATAAAATTTGCCTAGACTGAAATACGTCTAGAACAGAAATAGTTTAACCTAGAGATGAACGTGATCCTGGAAATAAACGTAGGTAAATCGATGACGTAAGCCGTTCTGCGTGCAAATCAGATATGCCGAGCATAAAGCATACAAAATTATTGTAAACCACTTTCTATGATGCTCTTATCGAATTTAGTCCGTGTAATATCAAAGGAAACCGACGCTCCGAATTTATTTTAAGCCGGTGGTTTGCGGGAAAAGTGACTCGCTACAAAACAACCAAACTCGCAATGTACAATTCTCGACCAAATAATGAAACAAATTAATATTATTATAACAACGATGAAAGTAGTTTTAAGCAGTGAATTTATTGGTTTTCATTCG